CTCTTCAACACATTTGTTCAATATAATTTCTCCTTCCATTAATACAGATAATCAGCAAAACTCTGGGTTAACACAATTAGTAATACTCTTTGGCTATAATGTGGGTAATCTGTATTTATTCAACATTCAACTCTCCACTGTCCCAAACCACAAATACAAATACTACTCACTTAGAGGGTCGATATGATCCTCATATTCAATGGGTATTTTATTTCATTCAGAGTGTGTCATTTGTTTTTTGAAAGCACAAAGTACTTGCTATAGTTATCTGAATACATCTTTTGGGCCATATATTGAACATTATTGGATTGATTGATTGATTGACCTGATCATGATCAATGACCAATCATTAATACAACCCATATTTGTCCAATGTCTGATTCCTCAAATGTTGTCCTATGGCTGTAGCCCTTCCCCCCTCTCTGCTCCAGTCAGCACTGCTCAAAGTACTGCTGTGGGAGCAGATGGACAGCACTTCCTTCTCTCTTCCCTTTCTCCTCTTTTTCTTAATTTATAGCTCAGAAATATCTCTTCATTGACCAATTTTAAAAGAAAAATCTACATTTGACTCAGAAACCAACCACATGCTCTGGGATGTCTATCCATCCATCCATTTTCTTCCCCTTAATCCATTTCTGGGTCAGGGGGTTGGCCCTCACTGATCCTCCTGCAGGTGCTGAGTCCACAGGAGCTTTGATTATTCAGAGGGGCTTCAGGCGAAGTGGGGTAAAGTGAATTGCCCAAGGACACAACGACAGCAGTCATCAGTGGGAGTCGTGAAGTAGATCTTATGATGGGCTCAAACCCATGACCTTCAGGCTCTAAGGCCAATGCTCTACCAACTGAGCCACAGTCATGTCACTTGCCATTGCTCTGGGATGTCTTCAAGATAATTTGAAATGCCACTTTTATTAGTAACAATAACAGATAAAATGTTTGTATAGTGACAATCCTACCAAGGCTTCACACCCGAGAACACACGACCGACTGAGCTACAGCAGCCCAAGAAGATGCAGGGTGCACACAGAGCTGATGATGTGCTTGTAAATATGGAGTGTTAATTAAACTTCATTGGTCTTCAAAAAGGGAAAAGAATAAGATTTACTAGGTACCCATTTTAAATGTATGGCTTAAGAATCGTTGGCAGAATTCCTGGAGTGAGTTAAACAACTATGGTTGAGTAGAAATGTGATTGTAACAATAGTTTTGGCACAGTCATCGTCTTAGTTCGGAGACCCACCCTCATTATGCCTGGAGCCCTTTGCAGACAGAGATGGCCTGCAGCATAAGCACAACAACAGATGTCTACAAGGCTGCAATCCTCTCTCAGTGTAACTTACAGGAAACCACGACGAGAATACAGGACCGGATTAGCCCTCAGCACCGTAGTTGACTCCAAAGAACTAGTAGTAGCTCAGATCAGAGAGGTCATTTTCCAAAAGACGACCGACCCAGCAGAGGTTAAATAATTAAAGGGGGAGAGCCTAACAACAACGCCACAGTGGCTTGAGTTGTGGTGGACGACATTAATGGGGAACTGAGGCTGAATGTCAGCAGCAAGAATGATACAATGACAACATAAAGAGGCAGAGCAGATCCATTTGGCCGCACGGGCAGTGAGCAGGAAAGTTTATAACAATTTTAGATAAATATGGAAGTTTCAAATGTACTAGGGACGTAATGTAGGATTTTAGGTTTTAGATTTCAAACAATCATACTAATTCTAGGAGGAGCACAAATACACGTGCAGTTCTAGAATTAATCCACAGAATTGTTCAATAACATCTAAAATGGACATAATGTACGAGATCTATGTTTTACTGTTGTAGAAATGTGCTTAAAGATAGCACCAATTGTTTCCTTTCCACAAAAAAACACTACACTTTTTAGACATAAGTGTTCAATAGTCTCAGAGCATTAGACTAGTGTAGACACTGTCATTATAATGTGTAAATGTGGAGCAGAAGTGTTTCAGGTTTAGAGAAGAGTGATAGAGAGCATTAACACGATGTAAACAAACTGTTTATCACTTAATACTGAGGACACTTCAAACTGGATTAATGCCAATGTTTTTGTGAACGATCTTTGTTTTACAAAGGAAATAATGAAGGAAGTGAAGAATGGAGGTATCTATGACTTTACTTCAGGTAAGCGCTTTGGAAGAGTACTTCTTTACACCTGGAGGACATTCATTTTTTTACTCATAGAATTAGTCATAAAACCTCTTCTCACCATGTTTAAATATATGCAAGTTTCAGATTTTTTTAAAAAACTATTTCAATAGTTGACTAGTTGTGATTATGTTGTTACAGCCGTAAAATTATCACATATGTTTAAGAATGTATTAAATGTCTAAAAGTTTTGAAAAAGGAAAGTTATGATTTTCAGAATACAATGTGGCATTAACTCTAGGGCTGAAACTATTACAGGAAACATTACAAAAAGTGTTGCTTAGAGTTTTATTACTATCGAATATTCTGTTGGTTTTTGGAAATGACTAAAATGCATTTAAAAATTAATATTTACACACACTGTAAGGTGCAACAACCGGTATCTTATCTGTATTACTAGTACTCAAAATATTTGCTGGTAGTCGAACAGTTTTGGTATTGTCACCCTTCTAAGGTAATCCCAGAAAACAATTGTTTAAAGAGATTCTTTAATGTTGATACTAGATATTAAGAAGTACCAGCTTTACCAGATTTAACAAAGGTCAAGTTTCCATCTGTAGTCCTACTCTTTGATCGGCACAGATGTCTCACAAGTTGAGCTGTAACATGTTAAATCGATTCATCTCTAATCAATTATTGAAATGGTTTTCAACCAATCTGGTAATTATTTCTGTATAACCTTATCTACACTTAAACATGCTGTGAAGAAGTTTAAACCAGAATTTTGGCCGTTGCACTTTGCTGAAATCTATGGATACATCTTGTTTTCTGTCCAGCTGTTGGATTGGCTTGTTTAAGTGTCAAACTATTTCTATCCAAATGTTGATTCATATAAACCAATAGTCAGTTGCAGCTTGTGCAACACCCAAAGAGATCTGTTTAGAGCCCAATACATAGAAGAAATGTGGAACATAAAAACAGGTTTTCTCCTCAGTGCTGTTAATAATGATACTAGACTAATTTGTTAGTTTTACTGGAGAACAGCAGAAATACTGACAGGACGGAGACACAGAAGCATCAATGCGATAAAAGTAGAGCACTTTGATTCAGCCGGATAAAGAGCAGTGTAATGGGAAATAAAGTTTAGAAGTTAAATCAATGATAAAAGTTTGATTTAAGTAATAAACACATTGGTTAGAAATGAAACAGAAAATAGAGGATCGTCCTTGATATATATTTTGTATTTAAGAAAGGTATTGTATGTATGCATTAGGCTTGTAGTGAGTAAAGTACTGTATACAATGTAATTGATACGATAACTATTGGTATCAAAATTATACTAAATTTCAGCAAGTATTGATATTAAATACAATGACAAATACAAAACAAAAAACTGGACATTTGATTATTTCATATAATCTAAATTTTATCAGAATAACTTGTCTTGGGTTTGAGAATTGTCAGTGTGCATTAACCTAAACATATGTTTAAGAATGTATTAAATGGTGGAAAGTATTTAGGCATTTGTGTTGTTGCCTTCAACACTGTATATAAATGTATATAAATTGTGCTAAAACATTTATTTATTTTTGTCAAAAAATTCCAGACAGGTATGGAAATCTAATCAAGCCAAAACAATATTAGTAACTTGTCACACTAATAGCAAAAGATCAGTACAAAAACTAAGCATTTGATTTGAACGGGAAAAGTTCCAAATGTGTCTTGTGCGGTGCATTATCAACGACAACAAGCAGAACATGACCTTTTGGCAAAGTCACTCCACTTTTAAAAGAACTTAAAAACACAGCAAATCATGCTACATTCACTGAAGTTAAACTCTGCTCAAAATCATATAAATAAAAAAAGCTCAAAAAAGGTCCACTGTGCCAACTTAAGCATGAGAGACTCACGTAGCAGACCAAAGTCACTGCACTGCCATTAGATCATGCACCAAGGGATATAGCTTCATCCTTTCAATACTGAATTGTCCTGGTAGATCTCTCACAATAACAAATGTTGAAGCATGGTACAGTACAAACGGAAACATACTTTACAACAGTAATATTGAAATTATACCAATGACTAACTACAGCAAGAGAATTCCAGAATACATTTAGAGTTCAGTATGATTAAAACAGCCCCAGATGCAACTCAAAGAATGTAACTTACTTAACACAGAGCTAAAATAGTTTGAGATTTAAGATAAAATGGGAATAATTGTAATACTTAAAATAAAACAAATACAGGATCAGCATACAGATTGTCAGTTTTCTGTGGATAACTGCACTGTTCAGAGGCTATATTTCTAACAAAAAAATCCAGATGAAGGTGTCTGTCAAAAGCAGATTAAAGAGAACAATAACCAGTGTTTGCAGTAACCACGTTAATAATCTACAATATTCTGCACAGGTCAGTTAGTCCATTAATGCACCTGACCCACATGCTTCTGACTTTCCACCACTTAAAGCAGCAGCACTGAGGAGCCATGATGTGAACTTCCCCTGCACTGCATTTGAAATGAGCATTTCTCATCCACGACACCAGAATCTGTAAAAAAAAAAATCTATGGAAAAGCCAAGCTTAAAATTCAAATGAAAATGGTTTGAACAAAAGAGCATTTGGTTTTGTTTCAGGATTGTAGTCATGTCTGCACCGCCTGCAGGAAGATGCCACCCACACACCTACAAATGATCCCACGCCACATGGTATCTGTACCTACCCCTCCCTGGAGTTTTCCCTAACCACAAGTGAGTTCTTCACCTGAACACTGCAATGGCGTGAAATAATATGAAAGATACTGTCATGCTTTTAATTATATCAGCTTTGCAGGGCAGGCCTTGTGAATGTTGCAGAATCACATAAGTGTTTCCTGTTGCAGCATGTACTTACATTTTGACATGTCTCTGCTCAATGTCCACCCGGGACAGCTCCTCCTCCTCTAGGTCAGAGTCCCCTCCAGAGCTACTTTCGGTCACGTCCGAGTCGAAGGCGGTTTCTGCCGAGTGAAGGTTTGCTGTTCCACTCAAGTATAGCCGCTCTAGCTCCAAAGGCATGGACCCACTTTTTAGAAACCTATTGAGACCATCTTTGTTGTTTGAGTGGCGCCCAGTCCTCCATGTAGCCGTGGGGGTAGTGGTCTCTGACTTACGGTTAGTAGAAATTAACCGACTAAGAGCAGTGTCTAAAAAGCCCCCGAGCTGCTGCTGAATGTGCCGCTCCACTTGCTTGGCCTGAACCACCTGAAGACGTTTACGCAGGCGGCGAAGGCGGCCTTCGATCTCCGTCTGGCGGTTACTGTTAAGGAGGGTGCGCTCCCTAATGTGCGCATCGATGGTGTCCGCATTGGAGCTACAGGGAAGGGGAGAGTCTGGTACAAGTGCACAGGCCAGAGAGTCTTGTTGGCTGCTCCCAGGTTTGTCTCCATCACAGCCCTGTTGCTGTTTAAGTGTGTTCAAATCAGTCTCTTCATGTCCACTTGGTTCACTGGAGTTTGAGGCATCTTGGGTGAAGGAGGATAGTGCAGCAGGTTGAAGCACTGTGGATTCGAGGTTATTTCCATCATTTTGGGAAACCCCTGAGGAATGCTTCGGTTTCAGGGTTCCTTTCAATGATATATTCCCTGATAGCGAGGCATCTACTGTCTCTGAATACAGGGGTTGGTTTGGAGTTTGAGAGTCTGTGGCAGCAGAAGGTTTGTCACCGTTTACTGCCACCACGCAGCCAGAGCCGGGGATTGTGGCCAGCTTCTTAGCCAGACCATTGACCGGAGACATAGGCTGGCTGCCTCCGTTAGTACTTCCACTCATTAGCGTTTTGAGATGACCACCAGAGAGTTCAATAGCCTGCCTCTTCCTCAACAAGAACTCCCCACCACCGTTGAGCAGGGATGCAGGCAGGATTCTGTGACTTTTAAGCACAGACTGTTTGATAAGGACTCCTTGCAGCTTGATTGACTCCTTGGTTGAAGCAACAGATGTCACATCCGAGCACAGGTAAGAAGCCACCAGAGGTTGAAGCTTTCCCAGCGCAGAGGCCTGAGCCACTGGGCCAGACTGGGACTGGTCCTGCTCCTGATCACCTCCACAAAAGTCAAGCGGGCACTCTTCTGTGGCAGCCTTGCCCTTCGCGGGACCACTGCTGTGGATAAGGATGTTGCTGGCGTTACCGTTGTTCTCTGCACTGGCTGGGGACAAACTGGAAGAGGGAGCAGCCAGTTTGAAGCGGATGTGGTGAGCTTCGGCTGGGGCGTCGGTGAGAGCGGGCGCCATCGCAGCCATGCAGTGCCGAGAGACGGGCACCAAGGCCTGCTCCACACCACCCGCTTACTGCCCCGCCAGAGGACAGCCTAAAGAGATAGAAAAACATTAATGGAATTTTGCAGAAAATGTTTGTAAATATGTTATGCATTATTTTAGCCCTGTGTGGAAATTACAGAACGTTATTTGCATAAGGAAGCTTTAGTTTTATAAAAAACAATAAAAATATAAAATCATAGATATTGTATTCAAACTTAGCAGGTGGAAATTTCCATGAATGTTAAACCAATATAAGCCCTGGATTGAAATTTCACATCCCACCTACACACCAACTTTCAGCTCAATTCATCCAGTAGTTTCTGCACAAACCTGCCTACAGACAAACAGAGGTTATCACATTTATACATATTGTTTTGAGTAACAGAAACTACAAAAAAATGTTGGCTTGCATTTATTGTGTGTTATAAATCATTGTACACATACTTTTACTAAAGAGTTTAGATAAAGTTAAAGCTTAAGCTCTATGTGGGTTGAAATCTGCCGGAGCTGAATAGTACAGAATAAAGTAATCAATGTTAAAAGTTAAACTGACTAAACCCACTACCCTACATGTGCTCTGGTCATGTCACTGTATGACAGGGCTGTGTAAGTAGGTGGATTTAGGCCCAGCATTAGTCTAAAGCACATGATGTAAGCACATGATGTCATCTAGCCACAGTATTCAGTGAAAATTAGTCTATTCTTGTGTCAGAAAAATACATTACACATAATAAAATGTATGTTGGGAGAGGGTGGGGGGGCATGCTCAAGTGTACTTTATTTGCTATAATAAACACGCCTTGCACCAATAGAGATGAAAAGCAGACTGAATCTGAGCGTATCTTCTGCAGGCTCAGATGAATGAAGGCTCAGTATTTCACCGCAGTTTCTCGTCTGCGCGCACTACGCCATGTTGGTATTTCCGACCCAGATTATGCAATACAATTCAGACCTCTTAAATCAGTCAATTATGCTTAAAAGCACAGTAATCTAGTTCTCCATGTATCGAAAATACTGCTTAGTTCATCCACAGGGGCTTTCAATGTACAGCTACCATGAGAAATAGAGATATGTGCGACACAAAAACATATCTCATCAGATGCCTATAACGTGGTCAAAACGTCTTCCTGGTGTTTACAAAAGCACAAGACGCAGCAGTGGGGGATCCAACAATCATCCGCCCAACATTTAGCTCCAAGGGTAATAAGGTTATTTAATAATGGGCTGGCCTATAGACGGGATACGGGGAGCTCTGACGTGGGCTTGCTCCAGTCATGTTAGTACAATCACACGATCACCACTTCAAACAACGCATCAGACGCATAGGATAAAGATCTTATCAACCCCTTGTCGCCCGATACACTTCTTACTAATTAATGCGTTTGGTTTGTGGCTAACGTTAGCCACAAAAGCTGCTGATGCAAGAAACACAACATGCTCACAAACCAACGTACGGCTCCCATAAGCCAACTGCAGTGTAACCATGCCTTGCCACACCATATTTTGTACCAATACTCAGCTCGGGGTTGTAAAGTGTCATGTTTATGCTTTCTATACCTGGGATAATAATCTAAACACAACACCCTGAATGCGTGAGAAAAACAAGAGTTCTGGTTTCCTATGCGTTAGTTCTAGTTCCTGACGCCCAGTGCAATCATTTGCGACAAAAGCTATTGTCACGCATGCGGTCCCTTCTCGGTTAAATACACAGCCTGTAGTCCAGCAAGTCTGGTTTTGTGTAGTTATAAGGCATGCACCACTTGTGCAGTTTAACCCATTTAAACAAACGCGTAGTCCTATGCAGAGAACAGCGACATGGTGTGCATTGCAATTAGATTGAGGAAATAAATACGGCCAGCACAGAGTACGGGCTCATGCCAGTCATTGTCTGGTCCCAGCCCGTGGTGGTAATATAACCGAGGCCAGTGCAAATATGTCAGAAGCGGAGAAGTTGGGAGTAGACACAGCCAGTGGAGCTAGCTCGCTAACAAAGAAAAAGGAGGAACCTACCACGTGACGAGGTTGCACTATCCGAGGGAATTTCGGCAACAATCCCCTGCAGTTTGGTGAAAAAGCCACGAGTACTTAGCAAAAAAAACCACAGTCTACTCGATTACGTTGCCATTTGTACTCCAAAAGGCCCCGATTTACCTCACAGGCCCGGTGGACACAGCCTCTGGTTCCGGATCCAGGCAATGGGCGAATCAATCTACACCTTGCTCAGTCGCCTCGCCGCTACGGCGAATGTGAGACAAGGCCAAGAAATCGCGGTTTCTACACCACGTTACTGCAGTTTTACAGCGTAACAAGACAATCCGTGACCAAAAGAACACACTCTCCGTTGACAAGGGGTAATCCAGACGGTCGTTTCTCGTCAGCGCTTTTCTCTCGTTTTAGGGAGAGACGTTTAGAAAATGGCGGCTCGCTCCTCTCCCTCGGATTTGAGTCTGACAAACATAGAAGTGCTGTGCGTGTGTGTGTGCGTGTGCGTGTGTGTGTGCGTGTGCTGCTGGTAGGCGGGAGACATTTCTCATACTCGCCACTAGTGTAAAGGGCAGATAAGAAACGACCAAAAAGAGCCCAAAAGAAGATGCCACAGGAGGGTATTGTCTTCCAACAGATAGGGTTGTGTCCTAGTTACACTATAAATTAACTGTATCAATAAAATGTCTCTTCCTCACCACAAACTACGTGCTTAAAAATAGAACAATGCACACATCAAAAGAATCAACTTGTTCCGCGTCACGCAACCTGTTTATCTACGGACATCCTGTATGTACAAAAGCATAATATTATTCTGGGAAAAGCCACGCCACTACAATATGTCACAAACAATATAATAATATAATAATGCCAACAAAACAACAACAACAATAATGGAAGTAGAGCAGAGAATTCATGTGAAGGATTAAACTAATAGTTTGTAAGAAATTATCCCCAGAGTGTGATGCCAATGCTGTATTGTCTTGTCTTTCACGTTAACATCACTTGACACAGGAAGACTGCAAATCAATAACATGCCGTGTTCACGAGATGTCCACTTGAGGGCGCTATTCTATCATAACTTATTTGTGCCAAACCATGCAATACAGTTCACAAGTAAATTGTATTAAAACGAGTCACGTTCACAAAAATGTTAGTAACTGGAAATTACAGAAAATAGTCAATATTCAGCAATGACCAAAATATTTCAAGTCATTATACTGACTTCTAAAATAACAGCCTGTTTCCATTCTTTGAAATTAATTAAATTTACTAAGAGCTTAATAATAGTTAATAATAGTAGTAATACAATGATACATGATAACGAGTCCGCAATTCCAGTGATCAATGGATTGAGGAACAGTGTAAAGATGTCTGAATAATGAGACCTGGACCTGGAGGTACATTTCCATAAAAATTGTGTAATATAATTTGTATCAAAAGTGAATAAAATAGTTACCTGTGACACCATCTCCACTTGTCTCTTTTCCATGATCTACAAGCGCAGAGCTGGTCCAAGAAAAGATCTAAAACCAAAAAGAAACAAAGTAATTCATGTTATAAATGGCTGAATAAAAAAAAAAATGTATTAAAAACAAGTTTGAGCAAATGTAAATATAAGAATAACAACCTCAAAGTAGCTGTCGTGACGTTTTAAAGCAACAATTTAAAAAGTTTTATCCTGTCCCCAAATGGACACAAGTCTCAGTGTTGGCTGATGCCTGGAAAAGGAACACAGTACTTCATGTTCATCCTCTGCCATAAGTCTTGATGCGAGAGTTGGTCAAACTAGCGTGTATGTTTATGTTAGCCCTGTTGGAGTCTGAGGACATCGCTAGCTCAGATGCTGCTTAGCTAATACAGCTAGCTCGTTTAGTTCCCGATCCCACACTGACTTCTCAATGAACAGGGTTTTTGCATGTTTACGAATACAATTCATCGGGAAAACTGCATATAACTCAACATACTAGTCTTTACTTCATATAAATGCACATATTCGGTTATTGATTAACGTGTTCATTTGCTTTTTTCTGAAATAATACGGCAAAAATCTTACTTACCTGCTTGTCCTGTTACTAACCGTTTACGACTCGATAACAACCCTCCTCTATGCTGCGATTGGTCCGTTTCCAAATTCAGCGCTTCTCATTGGCTGGTAGAAGTGTCAATCACACCAAATACCCGTACAGCGGAAATGTGTTCCGAAAGTTCATATCTAAAACTTCAATATTTCAAATATTGCATTGTTTCGGAAATGATTTCAGTCACTATCAATCTATTCATTTTATTGGTGCATTTTTTCTCCAATGCCACATTGCACATCTCAGTTCTGTCACATGCATGCTAGCTAGTCATTGTCCAGCTAATACATTTTACATTGAGTAGCTTAGTTGTTAATGTTATTCTCGATTTTGTACTGCGTGCATTTGCACTAATATCTCGTTCTCACAAATATTTCACACAGCACCATGTTTTAAAAAGCACACTAAATTAAATTGCAATTCGATAAATTGTTAAGTTTCTTGCATCCCATGCTAAACAAATGGTTGCAGAGTCGAGGAGACTGTTGTTTGCTTTCACCCAGAGGCACTAAAGAGAGGCCCCCCGAAGATGTGATATTTTCTGCGTAAACCACCAAAAAGTGCCTCCTATGTTTATGTTAAACATGCTTTAAATATTTATGCGGAGAGTGGAAGTGCCTGGTAATAAAAACTTCCCGACGAGCACTTTTCCTGAAACTCCCCTCTAGTTATAGTAGGCCTACACTACATCAGGGGCAGGTATCTGGTTGATAGTAAATATTATGAATCACACGGATGGCTAACTCACGACATAGACCTGCAGGGTACTGTTTAGTCATTGTAGAATACGTATCAATACAACAGATTCAACATAACATCTGGCTGTGATTGTGTTGTTGTTTTATTCCTGTGTCCTAAAATTATAGGACCATTGATCTGAAATTATACAAACATTGATTGTTTTGACATGCAATGACTTTGTTTATTGTTATATCTTTATCTAGTTTAATAATGACCAAATCAATATTTTGGGAAGGAATTACATCTGGGTACACGTCTATTATATCGATGAGAAAATGATTATAATTGCACAAAAGTACACTGTGGTGAATGTGTACATGCTGGCTTTCATGTTTCATCTTTAAAATTGCGCATTGTAAGAATGAGTAAAGGTTGCACTGTGTTCACCTTGTGTAGTATCTTGATTTATTTTGGTTTCATTTTCATAATGAATATGTTATAATTGCCAATGTTATAATAGCCTATAGTCAACTTTCTCAACTCTGAATTCTTAATTATGTAGTTATTAACATAGGGCACTAGATGGCGCAAAAACATCGCTCTTGTGACCGCTCCAGGAAACTTTTAATTTTCTCATTGTGGCATTTTTCAGCACTAAATTTTTTATTGACTGTGTATGAAAGGGAGTCAGTTTGTTTCCCTCCTATCCTGCCACACTTCTACTCCCACGAAAGATCATTCTCCCAATTGATACGTATACCTCTTTATCAAGCCACTTATTATGTATTATACAAACGCACGCTGGAGCCACGCTTGTTCTCGCCACAGGAGGTCCAAAGTCAGCCAGATGTAAGTATGGTAAACATGCAGTTCTCCATCCAGTTGACAATTGATGGAAAATGCAATTGAAGAAAATGAATTCAAACATCTGAACAGACTTTAGTTAAACCAGTCATAGATTAATGATTGATGATAGATGTAATGTGTTTTACTTGTACTGTTTATTGTGCAGGAGGGCCACTTTCAATAATTATAACACATATATTCTCATCAAAACAACGAATTATCAATTTGTTTATGTTGTGTGGACACAGAAGGACCACAATTTAACTATAAACAACACTTTCCATTTAAAACATGGCTGTGATGTCTGGCTATAACTGATCTTTGGCATTTTAACTTTTGTCTGAATAACAAAATCCATGACCATACAGTAGCTATATGTTATTTAATACTATGGATCAGATCAAATCAGCTGCTCCTGAAGTATAATGAAGCTGACACGCGACGCCCTCTCACATTGTAAGCCTAATTTCAAGACAGTGCGACCAAATGGAGCTAATAATTAACCCAGAGCAGCACCATAGGCACTGTATAACCTTCTGCCTTGTGTTTGCTTGACTATTCACATTCCATTTAACAATAATAAATGGCCTCAAGCAGTCATCACCAGGCCATCATATTTTCAAAACATGCCGAATTTTTCACTTACAAATGTTATAGTTTGTTGGTGTAACATCACGCACATACATTTTTCATGAGGAAAAGGGCTTCTTTCTGTAACCTCTGTTCATGGAAAAAAAAAGAATGCGTGTTAACTTGGGCAGAAAGATGTGGTCTAAAAGCCAATGGCCGGATACACTCTCCTTAGAGATATACCCACAAAGCTTAAAAGGATCACACAGCTCAAGCTTGTTTTTTATGTCTCAAGGGAAGCCACGGACAAATGGGAGTGTGATCCATCGCAGGCTTTCAAGTGTAGTAACGCTCAACATGTACACCACACTTTTTATACTTTTTACAAGAGCCAGATCCAGTTTGGATATGAATAAACCAGACCTGAAGTCCCAGCCATTTCTTACATTTTTAATTCAGTCAAACACAATTGACATTTTCAAGTATGAAAATAGCAATATTGTAAAATAAATAACAATAAATAATATTGTGTTTTACATGATGAATCTGAAAGACCGTCACACACACAGTACGTACCATTTAAGAAATCATTTCTCTTTCCTTTTCACTGTGTTGGAATGACACATGGAGGTGTACTCTTTCTAACAAGATGCTTATGTATGCTGTTTTTGTAAAGGTGACATTTTAAACATTTGTACAGTGCATATCAACAATCAATTTATATTTCTCTACACAAGAACTGTGTTTTTTCACAGTATTTTATCAGGCAGCTACACTGACTGCTTAAAATTTAGCATACTGTAAAAATAATACACAGTGTAGTGGCTGGTGTTTAAACAATTCTCTTAACTGTATCAAGCTCGGGTCCCACACCACTTTAGATTACATCTGTAAGGAAAACAATGAGGTCAACATACAATACTTGTGACTGGAACAGCCATGGAAAAGATGCACAGGTGCAGGGCATGACATATTGGAGGAATGTGGTCTGGACTGCAGGCAGTGCCCCCGCAATTTACAGCGCATACTTTCTCGCTTGTTGGTGATTGACTCATAGTAGTGACCACCTCCGAATTCAGTAATTATATTTATATACAAGATCTGTAACAATATCCACTCAAATGTCAAGCTTCAGCAGAAAAGCGACCACAAGACTGTAACGATCTCTTTACAAATCACCAAATCGAATGTGTAGCTACAGACAGCATAAGCCCTGACTGGAAGAGTTCTATCACAAAACAAGTAATTTCCCAAAGCCAGGCAACATGTGGCCCACAGAGGGTTGTGTAAACAGCAAATAAACATAGAATGTGCTTTATCCTAAAATAATTGATTGTAATTGTGTGTGGCATAATTTTGTAGAAAAAAAGGAATGTATTTGGGATTTGGTTTCTGGGATAAAACTATAGGAGGTACAAGCTGAAACACAGCACAGGAGAATACCACACCACTAGAGGGGACCAATTCACTGACCAGACATTTGCTGAAAACATTACAAAATAAACAATATGAGATCATTTAAATAGCTTCATTGTCCCAGCAGCATGTCATTTGAGTCAGGAGTTCACCGGGCCTGAATCCAGTGCAGTGCGGTCCAGCAGCACAACCTCTGGCTCTTCATTAATGTGAGATGCAAAAACGGGAAAATGTAATGGATTTTAAATACATAATATGACGTCATGTACATTCACACTGGATGAAACCGACTGAAACATATCTCTCTTGGTCACTTCCCCGGAGAGTGCGATCCACTAAAATCTGCACCGTCATGCCTTTCCCTGTTCCTTTTATCTCCTAAGTCGATGTAAGGTCTCTCCTGAGGTTTGGGAGACTATTCTAGCCTCTTTTTTTTTCCTTTTCACTCTCTGGCTTTGTCCCAGCTCAGAAAGTCTTTCAGTGTACTCCACAAACTGATGACGCAGACAGCCTGAGATTTCACTGCAAAAGTGTGTCCTGGGACAGAGCTGGTCTCCCGTTTCATAGCGAGGTGGATTGCTTGATGCTGTGGAAGCTGACCCGTGAAGGTGACGTGGGGATGGACATGGCCTGTGTCATCCTGGCCCGGATCGAGTGCTGCTCCTGCCACCGGTGGAAACGCTTCCTCACGGCTGACCGCACCTGTCAGCGGACAATAATATTTACTGAAGGGGTTCGAGGAACACAACAGAGAACGTCTTGTACCGGCAGAACAGTGCGTAAACAAATGCAACCACAACATGTCTGAATCTTATTAGAAAACATTTTATCTTTTGCATACTTGTTACAAAGAGCTCTGTGAGTTACTATTTGACACTTTGGGCTGAGAGCTGATTGGCTGAGTGAGGGTGGTTCGCTATTTTTCACTTTTATCTCTGAAAAAGTGGCGGATAATGCATGTGAAAACTAGAGAAATAGATTTTTTTACACCCAGCTTTAAGTAATTCAACAATAATAAATACATTGATTTTATGTTTGCTTCACATGGTAATATTCATTCATTTACTCTGTACATGGTGATGGCGAACTATTGTAGCCACACCTGGAAATAACTTGTATAGGCTAAATTAATTGTCAGCACTTGAGAATGTTAAAAGCAAGAGCGCACAGACGTACAAAGTGCTCTAATTATGAAATTATGAGAGGAAAAAAAATAACATGGAGAAAACAACCACCCGCCAGGTGCCCTTTTATTTATAGAGAAAAAACACCCAGACTTTCCTTATGCTTCTTCTTCTTGTCACTACTTTTGGCCATGTTGAATTTTAAAAAACGCTGCTTTGATTTAACACATATATTGTCATCCTATTTGTCTTTTTGATCTTTATGTGATTCCGACTCCATCTTTCTTTCCCAACAAGCGTGTTCCTGTCTCCTTCTGTTGCTCTCAAAACACTAAATCAATATCGTCCACAAACTAGGCATGCTGGTTGCTGGAGATACAACAGTCAATGATGAGATATTCATTCGTCCTATGACTAGATATGGCTTCGAGGGCCGAGCAAAAGAGCAGTGTGATTGAAACTACGGCTCCCTGCGCCCAAGGGAGTAATAAATGTAACCCTATAGTGGCAAATGTGTGGTGTAATAAGGACTGAGGCGAGATGCAGATATGCTAATGTATACAAGCAAAGCGATCTTTCCAATGACAGGCTCTGTACAGTACTCGTATGAATCAAAAACACATTCTGCCCATGTTGCATTGAATAGTGTGAGCGAGAACGAACCTGAAAGAATGCAGTTAAAATAAATAATTAAATGCACCGCTTTTTAATTATGCATCTTTTGTAGGTTCAGCATTTTGAGTTGCCTTGTGTATGAATTGTGCGATACAAATAAACTCGCCTTGCCTTGGTTGTTGACTGTCTGAGCCCTTTCCAATGTAAGGACACCTCCTGCTCAATCTTTGTCAATATTACTTTGCCTGTAGCTGTATTTGACCTGCTTCATTAGATGTTAGAATTTATTATTTATTTATTAGTTATTTATGTATTTATTTATTCATTTTTTATTTTTTTATTTTATTTATTTATTTTTTATGTTTATTTTTTATCTATTTGTTTATTTATTTATTTATCTATTCAGTATGTATTTATTTATAATTTTTTTATTCATTATTTATTTATTTAGTATTTGTTAATGTATTAATTTCTTTTATTTATTACTTTATCATTTTTATTTATTTATTGCCCATGACCATATATAAGGTATGGAGCACAGGTTTCAGAACAAAACAAAACAGCAAAGCAATACATCATTTTACCAAAGGAAGAACCTTTTTCAAAAATGTACAAAGTTTACAAATTATTCTGTGGCTGCCATTTTGCATGATTGAGAATTTGTTTTGCATTGATGGATATTTAGCATAATACTCATGCCCTCAGTGGAAACAGCCAGACATGAACGGACAATACTATTAGTATTACTACGACTGATACTACTATCCGGTATTAGAGTCAACTCTCTGTAGCTTGTATTATGTTCATATGTTTGTATGGGCTCCACTTCATATCATATCACATGTTATAGTCTGAAATGTCCTGTGTTTTTATGTTTTTATGCCCTGTGCTGCTCAAACAAATGCCCCCTGGTGGGATGAATAATGCAGTCTGAATCTGACGGTACTATTAATACTACTATTATGCAATGAGAGTGATCAAACCTGGTGATAAATGCTTCTCTTTGCTTCCAACTACTTGAAATATTTCTCCAACAAGAACTATCTTGCAGCATTTATGGCTGATGCTAATTGGTCCACTGGGAATATACTGGGTCTGTTTGTTTAAAATACAATTACAGTCTTATGTAATCCTTTCCTGTTACATACAGAATAATATAGAATGCCCCAAACCTGCAACCCCAAATCAATCATCTTAAGCGTAATAGAAAATGTGTAGTCATTAAATCCAGTTATGGTTGTCTGCATTCTTACAGAAAAAATACATTTTATGTGCCCTTTAAACTTTTATTGTACAATACATTGAGCAGATTGTGTTTACAGAGGCATTGTAAAAAATCATTGCTATTTTGATAGGGTTTCTGCTTGTTATTCAGTTGACTGTGGCAGTGTCACCCCGAGTCAGAAGTGATGTCATTGATGTCACAAGACATCAACCATGGAGACTAATTGCCCCTAAATATAAATGCATTAATTTCTCATCAGTCGTGTCCCTGTCCCAGCGAACATATGAGCAGCAGCAGGAGACACCAAAAGGAGAGTGGAAACGCCCAGAGCGCTGCTATAAAAACCAGTGTCTGGATGTGTGGGAGCTGTGAAATGTGGATCAATATGAGAGGATGTGAATCTGCTTACCTCACTATTTAGGAAGCAGTAAAATACTGACACAAAGAAGCCCTGTGTGAAAGGTAGAGACAAAAAAGCATTAAAATGAGCCATTACAACATCAGACTAAACAAAGCAGCTTATCACATGCAATACACTGATTCCCATCATTTGGCAGGAACACGGCTATTATCTCATCTACGATAGTGCTGCGTCAACACATGCACTAATATTTATTATGATTCAACCTCTAATATGTGTGGACTATTACACAATCATCCCATCTTTAAGGCAGGTACATGTTATTATTGCATTCTTTTAATGACTGTTATCTGTATCTAAAGCCTGGTTCACACGAGACGATTTTGAAATTGTCGGCCGATTTTTCTCCGTGTTAGACCCCACACGGGGAGATTAAAAATCCTGCGTCTAACCACTTTGGTCGTGCAGTGTGTGGTGCGTAGCCACACGGCAAGATCACGCAAGCCACAAACATCACACACGAACCGACACCCCCCCCCCGAGCATTCCCAGGTCAGACGGAAATCTCACAAAATCTCTCGAGATCAAGCGTGACTTCAGAGTAAACAGTCATGGCGGACGAAGAGGATGCAGTGGCGATAGTGTGCAGTTTGTTGTTAACAGAGAAGACACGTAATCCAAAGAAAAGGCAATGGTCAAAGCCATGCTGCTGTGTTTTGGTTTTTTTCCGGTGTTTCCTCACCGGCTTGTCACCTCGTCTTCTTATTGGCTACACGCCGTAGTCATGGCAACGCGCTCGCTTGTCCTCGGAGGACACCACACACGACAAGAAATCGGGCCAAAACAATCCAACATGTTGGATATCCCCGATTTGAGATCGGGAGCAGTCCCGATGTCCTTCCGAGCGACGAGTGCAGTCTTAACACACCACACACGGCAGGATAATCTGTAAGATTTTGTTACGGAAATCGGAGCGTTTCTTAAGATTGTCGTAAGGGGTAAATCGGGTCTAAATCGGCCTAAATATCCTGCCGTGTGAACCAGGCTTTACACCAGTGTTTCCCAACTGTGGAATACTCGGACCCCTAGGGGTATTACGGGGGTACATGAAATTATTTTTCAAACTGCTATGACAGCTAATTCTCTGGATCCTGGAGCACTGTAGACACAACTGTGATCAAAAGTAAAGAAATATAATTGCCAGACTATAAGCCGCCCATTTTGTAGCTTCTTAAAGAAAGAGAGCTGCCACGGAGAGAGGCACAAAACACAAGGGACTTTTAGAAAAAATCTAATTAAGACTCCATCCAGGTTTAATAGCTATAGGAGACACATTTATTGACAGGTTAAATGAGTCCCGACATGGAAGTCAACAGTTTTATTTGCCTTGTCAGGGTAAACTGTGTTATTTACAAAGCTTTGATCATCACGAGTCAACAGTGAACACGTGCACTTTATAATCCTGTACTGTATATGGAATAGAACACTGCCTCTTTAACAACAGGGGTACTTGTTGTCAAAGGTGCACTGTCTACGCTGGCGACGGGGAACACAGGGTAAAAAGGTTGGGAACCACTGTCTTACACAATGCATTGAACACAGTTGAAACATAGAGGCTGACGTTCAGTGGATTTAAAATACTGTCACTCTATATTGTACAATAACAGCCTAAGCTCAATGACATATCTCACCTGAAAGGACTCCAGAAATGAGTTGAAATATATGAATACACTTTGTGAGATCTCGTCCTCCCCTGGATTGACGAAGAACAGCATGTATGTGATTCCCAGCAGCGGCAGCAGCACCAGCGTCGCCTTCACAGCTTTCCTAAAAAACACAACCCGAGTCAACAACACAAGTTTAGGCCCTTTGTACATGTTTGCATCCCAGGGTCTTCAGCATCACACCACCACTGCTGTGTCTCGTCGTGTGTTTGAGCTTGTGTTGTTATGAACGAGTGAGAGGGGTCCCAGCTCTTTTTCAAACGGTTTATTTCTGTTTATTTTGTGTCTTGTTTTTATATACCCTAACCCTATGCTATACTATACTATGCTATTCTATAAAATGGGAACCCCAGAAGCAAACGCATCCCTTCCCATCACAGATCAAGCGGAAGCATGAATAATTTACAAGGCAGAAGAATGATTCCTGAACCCATGCAAGTGTCGCAGTCTTAACCTGTATTGGATGGTTTCGGACGTGGTGGAGGCCCGCAGTTTGGTCATCAAGATCCGCACAATGTTGAAGAGGAAAATAAAATTGATCTGAAGGGAAAAACAAAAGAGAAAACAGTTACTAACGGTGCTGCACTAACGCGTGACACGGGTCATTTAACAAAATATTCTGTTTTACAACTTCAATTACAATTACGAGAAGGGTTACACCTATTGAGTTACACCTCATTACACAATCTCTACAATTCTTTCCTCGTAAATAAATTCAAAATGTCGCCCGTTCATGTGAGTGTCTGTCCCGTGACTTGCCCGGTCTTGTCTCTGGAGGTCAATAAATCACACCTCAAAGACAATTAACACAAACGTAATCAGACGTGGCTTTTTATTTGACATATTTCTCGTAAAAATACAATTCAATCAATGCAGAACGACAGTGCCCTGCCCCCCATCCTGAGCGTGACATCGGTGCCTTGTCCACTCGTCCGTAATCAGCTGCTCTCGGCAATTTGTGCTTATGTGTGTATATGAATTCATAACTAAAGATCAAGAGATTAAGAGAGATCGTCCCACAGTCGGGGAATTTCAGTGTTGCATTACCAGTCACAGAACAGTATAGAATGAGGAACCCACAGCACAAGATCAGATATTTAGATAAGATTATTAATATGCCAAAGTTGTATTGTTATATATAATAATTTGTCTTTTTCTTCTTCTCTTGTCTTCATTAAAACGCCAGCTCCACACTGTTAGAAATGATTCCCTCTCTCCGTCACATGGCCCAGCTTCTCCAAAGACATTTAGATTGTATTTCTATTAAAACCTGTTTTTTGTTCACAGCAGGTTACCCATTATTTTCCTAACAGCAGGTTTTGTTGGAGCGAGGAGAAGGACTTTGTGTGCCCATATCTGAGTATGTAGGTTAACAATGAAAGATGATAGGGTCATGTATTTTTGATGGCGTGTTCTTGTTTCTGTAGTATGAGGCTGGGCGTGTCTCGCAAAATGGTTTATGGACAAGGATGAATCTTACTCTATTCTAGCATTTTGTAAGTCATAGAATTTTTTTTCATTTGGAAGCAAGGAAGTGACAAAGTGCATGATACAGAAACAATGCTAATCAATATTTACATAACATTCATACAGACAAGGATTAAAAGAAAGTAGGGAGGGGAGGGGCATTCTAATCTGGTGTCATGCAATTTTGTGTGTGTGTGTGTGTGTGTGCGTGTGTGTGTGTGTGTGTGCATTATTTTATTTTTTAAAGAATGAAACCTTAGTGAGTCTTTAAAGTACCCAAAACATGACATGACATTTATAGATAATTCTTGGATTGAATTTTGCACTTAAGAAAAAGTAGATTGTATGGAGCTAAAACAATGGAGCTGTTGTTAAATGTCTTAAGAGAATTAGCGAAATGACATTATTTAAACATTCCAAAGCAGGGAAGGGGGCTGCATGAGATGTTGGACATGTTCTCTGCTGTCTCTGCTGTCTCTGCTGCCTCTGCTGTCTCTGCTGCCTCTGCTGTCTCTGCTGTCTCTGCTGTCTCTGCTGCCTCTGCTGCCTCTGCTGCCTCTGCTGTCTCTGCTGTCTCTGCTGTCTCTGCTGTCTCTGCTGTCTCTGCTGCCTCTGCTGCCTCTGCTGCCTCTGCTGCCTCTGCTGTCTCTGCTGCCTCTGCTGTCTCTGCTGTCTCTGCTGTCTCTGCTGTCTCTGCTGTCTCTGCTGCCTCTGCTGCCTCTGCTACCTCTGCTGTCTCTGCTGTCTCTGCTGCCTCTGCTGCCTCTGCTGCCTCTGCTGTCTCTGCTGCCTCTGCTGCCTCTGCTGCCTCTGCTGTCTCTGCTGTCTCTGCTACCTCTGCTGTCTCTGCTGTCTCTGCTGCCTCTGCTGCCTCTGCTGTCTCTGCTGTCTCTGCTGTCTCTGCTGTCTCTGCTGTCTCTGCTGTCTCTGCTGTCTCTGCTGTCTCTGCTGTCTCTGCTGTCTTAGCTGTCTCTGCGGCCTGCCAGACATCTCATTAGTAATGTACAGTTGTTCATGTACATTACCTGGACCACTACAAACTGTAAACTAAATTAAACATCACACTTTTGCCTTTCGAGGAATATTAAAGCATGATTTGTTTGCAGCATTTTGTTGTTGCATGATTCTTGGTGTCAAAACAGATCAAGAAAATCTACATATAGTGAACTCTTTTTGCCAATGCCGAGACCAGACAAAGAAAGATGGTTTCTCGTGTCCTAATTAATATGCTAATCCAAGTAAGAAGTAGATAACCTCCTGCAGCAATCCTCAAATGAAAGAGCCCTAAGAGGTCTTATCGCAATTTGTAAAATATGCATTTGTTCAAAAGGAGCTTTGTAAGGCTGACTAATCTCATCTCTCTGAATGGGCAGCTTGAGATTTCTTTCCTCGCGATGATGAAACAAGTGAATGATGTAACCTGGAAGAAAATAGCTGAGGGAATAGTTTCCGAGGCCCGGTGACCTGACCTCCACAGTCAAAGAGGCACATGTGGACTATGGTCTTATAATAAAACTAGCAATGTCATGGTGTGGATATTATTTTTGTATTTTTGTTTTATTTTGACATCTGTTATCTGTGGATTAGTTTTAGTTTGACTTGCTGTCCTGTTTCCCCTGTGTTGATTGTCTGCCCCGCCCTGATGTGTTTCACCTCTGTCTCTGTGTCTATATGTACCCTGTGCTTCTCTGCCCTTGTTGCTGGTCCATTGTATTGTGAACCTCCGTCCTGTATTGTCTTGTCTAGTCCTGTTCCTTTGTATTTTTGAGTTTTGAGTTTAGTTTTCACCTGGACTTTTATTTTATTAAATAATTATTTTTGCATTCCTGCGTTTGAGTCCTTCCTGCATTTCCACCTCGTGACAAGCACCAGTTTGGGCAACTCTAAAAACATCATGTTCATTACCACAGAGTCCCCATTGTTGACATTTAACGTCAGCAGTGGTGAGAGAACAGAAAGTCCATAAAAGTCTAACAAGACACATCATAAATCTGTGGCTGATCTGACAATGATCCCCAAAGGATAAAGGGTCTAGACCAGAGATTTGTTCTCACAAGTGCTGCCTCAGAAAGTCCTTATTCCACATTAAAATAGCATGAAATGATCTAATCTTAAAACTTGCCCAAGATGAGCTCTAAAATAATACAAAAACACCTCAATCAAGACTTAATAATAATGATCATAATAATGATCAAAGATAATGACAACATTGACTTGTCATTTATCATGAGGATTAGAGGTCACATTGTGTCTGAAGCGGTAACACAAATCAATATGAAAGATTATGCTGCTCTTTGTCATTTAACAGTTTATGTCTAGAAGCAACAGAATAGATGCAGACTCGATATTAACTGCATTTAATTCATTTTATGTGATGTATGACTGCCTCTTGCACAATATGTTCTTTCTGGGGCTGATTCTCATAAAATAGTTAATTGATTGGAAAAAGGTTTCTTGCCCTCTCCAGGTAGATGGAGGTCAAGTATCTAAGGGTCGATGTATCGGGTGTATAGTATGTGGAGGAGAATAGGGAGCTGAGTGGAAAGGCAAAGCTCTCATTTCACTGGTCTACATTCCCAACCTCAGCTATGCTCAGTGTTGGGTGATGACTGAAAGGACAAGTTTGCAGATACAAGTTTCTCCATAGACGGTGTGGGCAATCCCTCAGCGATGTAGTGGGAGGAGCTCAGTCAAATGGGAGTTGTGCCACTGCCACTGAAAGGCACCAGTTGAGGTGGCTCAGGCATCTGTTTCGGGTGCCTCCCAGATGGCTTCCGGGGGAGGTGTTCCGGGCCTACCCCTGAGCCTGGCCCTGAGCCTGGCCTTGAGCCTGGCCCTGGTCCTGGCCTGGGAACGTCTCGAGATTCCCTTGGAAGAGCTGGAGGAAGTGTGTGTGGAGAGGGAAATCTGGACGTCTCTGCTCAGACTGCTGACCAGCGACCCAGCAACGGGTAAAGCAGGAGGAAATGGATGGGTGTTTAATATACTGTAGGTGGTTTGGTGCTCGGGGGATGTTATGTTAAGCCTTCCTTGGATTGAAGAGAACTCCTCCTGATCATTTTTATTGTCACTCAGGTTTTGGGAGTGAGCCTTTGCCAGTCCATCTTTGAAGCCGGCCTTTCTTCTCACAATAAGTAGCCAGTCTAAAATGAAATGATTAAAATAATGCACTACTAAAGGAGACAAATACCTGAATTGGGTGATAAGAAAAGGTAAAAAAAAACAGGATACATCTCTGTTTGAGCACGTTGAGAGCTGTATTCAGGCTGCACAGGAACTTGCTTTTGCCGGGAACAAAGTACGAGAGGCAGAAACATTAAGTACCTCTTGAGGAGATTACTTTTTCACTGACAGTGAAGATAAAAAAAGAATATGACGTTCCTGGAAGGTCATTTTGACAGCGGAAAGCCAGAACCACAAAAGTATTGGTGCAGTGTGAGTGCATGCCTGGACTGTCCAGCGTAAAAAAGACCACTTCAGACTCAAAGCATTTTCAACCTGTCACAAAAAGCTCCTGGAAAAAGTCCAAAAAATCAAGTAATAAAAACATTGTGCACTTTCCTTTGCGACATTGTACCACAAACCAATTCAAGAACAATTTTCATTGACTTCCAAACAATGGCATACAGAATCTGCTTGTCTATCATTTTGTCATATTTGTCTGATAAATTCAACAAACACATATTCAACCCTCTTAAAGCCAGGGTACCGAACTTTCAGTACAGAACATGAGAAAATGAAACTATCTAATAAAATCCATCTCGACTCCTTGCTCTCAAAACAGTTCACCTTGGAGAGACCCATGAGGAAAACGCATTAGACTTATTAGATTTAAGCATGTTTATTGATTGAGCATGTTTGGCGCCCTAGGCCCGGGCGGGATGCTGTTGAGCACGGCGCTTGCTCGCGTGCATGATCCCCCCGGGGCCTAGGCACTGGTGACGGCAGAGGCAGTAGGCAACACGCTTCATGCGAGAAGGAGGAGGTGGGGCGGCGGCGGCTTGCAGACTTCAGAAGATCGGGAAGTGGGCGTCTCCGGCTTTTAACTTGCTGTCCTGGTGGTTATTGGTTGACTGGGTGTGGGCGTTGCTGGTATTGATGAGTCGAGGAAGAGCAGCCTGTGGCCTGGCAGCAACAGCCGGGTCTACCACGGTGAACTTTCGCGAAAGCTCCATTTCTATAACGCTGGTTTTGACATGTATTTTTACACTTCTTTACCACACCCTCACTCAGCCAATCAGCGCTCACCCCAAACTGTCAAATCGTGACTCCCTGGGCTCTTTCTTACAAGAATACAAAAGATAACACGTTTCTCAAAACATGCAGACAGTATTTTGTGGCCTGGCTGTTTTTTTATTTTCAATCTTTCTGTTGGGACAAACAAGATGTATTATTACATGGGGGTAAATGTAAGCTACCCCAGTTTTAAATAGCTAAAATCCAAACAGAATATGCCTTTATGAATATTTCCAATGCACATCACTTTCCTTCAACGTGAACATAGAATTAGCGTAAATTTCAGGTCGTCAGCGGGATAGAAAAACACCAGCCATGTCGATGGAGAAGTCATGCAGACGAGCTCGATATGATATAATATCCTCTTAGTGGTATTACAAATGCTAAGCCGTTGAGTTACAGCTGGATTCTGACAAGACAGGACTAAAATAACTAAAAAGAGCTTCTACTTTATATGGAAAATCCTGCCTCAGTGACACCAGAGCGGCTAATGCGTGTTGTGATAATAACACTCAGTAGAATATTTGCTACGGCAGGAAAATGCAGCAACTTGCCCCGGAGAGAAAATGAACTTTAAATAAAATCAATTTCAAAGCCAGTCACTTTAGGTACGGCTCTGCTCATTCACGTAAAATGCCACATGTTTACGTATAGAAACACAATTAATGCATCGTGAAAAAGGTGATAGAAAGAGCACCTTTGGAATTACGAAACGTGTTAGGACATGGTCTTTGGAAATGGCTTGAATACCTTATTTTTTCTCAATAATTTACTCGTTTTGAATTCAACGGTATGAGGAAAAATGTTCATAAATCAGTCATTACCGTTGAGCGAGACAGAAAAATATGTTATTTTAAAAGTGGTATTTCTTCAAAAACAATAACATGTTTTGTTATTGACGGTGAATTTGAAAGAATTTAATCTAGAAGGGGTGAAATGTTATTTGTAAGGCACTACAATAGATCAGGCTATTGAAAAAACTTGATGAAGGGCACATGGTTAGCTTTTCAAATATGTTTCGAACGGCACTTACATCAAGAGGCTTAGGAGCAGAAATTCTGAAAAATAGAGTGTACAAAAGTCTAAACTCAAAGTGCACAGTATGAATCCTGACCTTTTCTCCCAGAGAGCCACTTTTACTACAAAAAACATGTACTCAATACCACACATGTAAAGGTACAGCGGACATTCACTTCAAAACAACATATTTATGAATTATTTGAAACTATTCAGTAAAAAATAAATACTTTCTGCCCCATTGTAACAAAAATACAACCCTCCGTCCCTATAAAATATACCCCAAACCTCTTGTCATGTGTTGACTGGCTGCATCCCTGGTAGGAGACCCTTGTGCTACATAGAACTCAAGTAAGGTCAAGAAATGCACTGCGCCTACTTTTAAAACCTTAAAAAATACGCACAAACTTTCATAACTTTTGAACCTTGGTTATAGTGCGATCAAAAGCATATTTACCACCAAGACGAGGATCATCGGGCCCTGGTAGATGTAGTCTGTGTAGACGCCGGGACGCTTCCCAAACCAACACCTGAAATGTCACAGGAGGCATTCATAACTAACTGCAATAAAAGGTGGATTATTCTGTCGGCCGCTCTTCACATTCAGGATTTCCCCTGTGGGTTTTCAATGTGAAGACCTGCGGAACACATGGTCTCTGGGCGTCTTTATGGTTTAGTTATAACATAAGGTGTATGAATAAATAGGTGTATATGGATTTATTATAAACAATGTAATGTTGATGTTGTTCAGGGAATTCAGAGTCCGTCAATTAAATATAGAAATACACTTTTAAATAATGAATTAAATACGATTTTTATAAACAATCAACTAAATATACAAATAATGAAACATGCTGAATGTTTGAAATAAATGATTAAATAAATAAATGTATCAGTAAAACATGTATAGACACATAATATATATTTATAAATATATAATTCATTACTTCAGTATTTACATTTCATCATTTCATTTCATTGGAACTGTCCCTCGTCCCTCGTCAAACTGGGAAGGCGGGACTTCCTGTGCCCTGGGACAGTCCATTTCAAAGAACCCGTCTATTATTACTCCATAGTATTGATCTCATGATGTCAAAATAATGTCAACCAATTATAATATTGTCTTTGTGTTTGGAAAATGGCTAATGTGAAAAGTTTTGTTTTACTTGATCACACTTCTGGTTCACTTTAATCAGACCTAATCCAGCTCACTTGAGAAAAAGTGGAAATAAAACCACCAAACGAGTGAACATCAAAGTCTTTAAAGACTGGTGTGAGAAGCAGAACCTCTCCACGACTCTCTCCTCATAGATGTAAGTAGTAAGTAGTAATCTTTATTTATATTCCGCCTTTTCACTGCAGATCTGAGTCTCAAAGCGGTTTACAATTGTTAATTTTTGGGCATTTGTCCTCTCACTCCACACAGAGATGGGAGCGGGGTCGCCTGTACAGGAGGCGCATGCCTGAACTATTGGGCATATTTTTAGTGGTAGGGGAAACCGGAGTACCCGGAGGAAACCTACGCAGACACGGGGAGAACATGCAAACTCCACCCAGAAAGGCCCTGGTCCGACCGGGATTCGAACCCAGGACCTTCTTGCTGAGAGGCGAGAGTGCTATCCACTCTGCCACCGTGCCGCCTGGGGAGCAAATTGAGCGAGTGGACTCAATTAAGTATCTCGTCCTACACTTGGACAAATCTTTTAAATGGACCGATGAGGCCGACACACTGTGTGCTAAACTGGCCCAGAGACTACACTTTCTGAGACGCTTGAGGCTGTTCGGAGTGTGCCCAAAAATTATGACTATTTACTACAACTCTATATTTGAAAGCTGCCTCAGAAACTGCATGTCTGGTTCGGTGCGCTCTCTGTGAAGGATAAATCCAAGATCCAGAGGCTTGTTTAAACTGCATCAAAGATCATTGGAGTTGAAGTTCCCTCCCTCCAGCTGATCTACAGGCAGAGCACACTCTTACTGGCTCAAAAAATTGTCAGTGACCCCCAACACGCCCTGCATGAGGAATACGAGACCCTGCCTTCAGGACGTCGCTTTAGGGCTGTGAGACACAGGACAAACCGCTTATATATATATTCAGGATTACGCACTTTCCTGTAATTGTTTCCTTTTCTTTCTTGTTTCATTCATGCAGATCTGTGAAGCACTGTATCCTACAGCAAAGGACATTAAAGTTTATCTTATCTTATTAACATGTGTGCCATAGTCACTTACTTTAGGTCAGTTTACATTTTATGAAACAGATTTGTGAAGATTTCTCTCCCCCTGAACCAGACTTGGCCCAGTCAAAGTGAACCAGACTCGGCCCAGTCAAAGTGGACCAGACTCGGCCCAGTCAAAGTGAACCAGACTCGGCCCAGTCAAAGTGGACCCGACTCGGCCCGGTCAAAGTGAACCAGACTCGGCCCGGTCAAAGTGAACCAGACTCGGCCCGGTCAAAGTGAACCAGACTCGGCCCGGTCAAAGTGGACCAGACTCGGCCCAGTCAAAGTGAACCAGACTCGGCCCGGTCAAAGTGAACCAGACTCGGCCCAGTCAAAGTGGACCAGACTCGGCCCAGTCAAAGTGAACCAGACTCGGCCCAGTCAAAGTGGACCCGACTCGGCCCGGTCAAAGTGAACCAGACTCGGCCCGGTCAAAGTGAACCAGACTCGGCCCGGTCAAAGTGAACCAGACTCGGCCCGGTCAAAGTGGACCAGACTCGGCCCAGTCAAAGTGGACCAGACTCGGCCCGGTCAAAGTGGACCAGACTCGGCCCAGTCAAAGTGGACCAGACTCGGCCCAGTCAAAGTGAACCAGACAAAACATGTGTGAATGCAACCTGTTTCTGAAACCTATCCAGCTCATGTATTATCTGATTATAAACTAAACACAGATGTCCGCTGTGTATTCTACCTACCATCATTTGAGCTGAATAAATAAAACACAAAACGACCATTCACTTCCATCAGGTCCACTTGCTAATGTGTAATTTAGAATATTGCACACTGCTAATGTGATTACAGCAGCTTATTAATAGACATTTATCTCAATACAACTTCAGCTTGACTTTTCAGCGTTTTGTCTTTTTGCTTCTCGGAAAAAGGCAACACGACGCCTTCCTTTTACCCAATCAATACATCGAGTCACAAACATCTTACTTTTCATTATCGTAGTAGAGCTTCCCAATGGCCCAGGCCACGATGATCGGGAACGGGATACCTGGGAGGGCGACAAAAACACAGCTGTCATTTCTTTTGTTCCTTTCATCTTTTTGAGCCTCTTTTCAAATCCCAGAATATTACTTGGGGGGGATTTCTAGAGAGGAATCTTCAATGCCCCAATCCCTGCCAAGCTCTGTCAGAAGTAATCTTTGCATCAATTCTCTGAAGCGAAAACTGGAGCCAGGACTTGTCTTAATACACTTTGTGAATGGATGAAAAGCTGGACTCTGCTTGACGATAATACAGAGTGATTTACGCATTTACTCTACTTATAAGGAGTTTAATGTGCTGGTCAAACTTCAATTATTCGTGTCTAAGTGGCGTAAACGACAGAAAAGACCTTTGCCAAATGTCTGCTGTCCAAACACTGCAGTCAATAGGCTAATGTCTGAGCCGTGGTGCGAAAGAGACAAAAGCGTGACTCATCTCCAAACACAAACCAAGAATTATACTTTTTAATTATCTGTGAGTCTGATGTATGCTTCTGTTTCATCTTCACAGTTTGAGAGTCCACACTTGGGGAACATGGGAAATTACATGCTCGATAGGCCCGGAAAATCCTAATGAAACCCGTATAAATCCATCCATGACATTACCACATCTGTGAAGAAAAACCGAACTTCTGAAACTGTGGAGAAACTGGAGCTCGCTGCCTCCTCTTCAGGTTGTTATGCATTTGAGCAATTACAATTTGATGTAATTTGCAAACAAATATACAAATATTCTGTATGTATTGTATATTTTCTTTTAACTATTGGCCTTATTGAATCATAATAATAATAACATACAATAAGATATTAACAAGATATTAACAGCAGGTCATATGGAGTGGCCAAAGGAAGAAAGTGAGGTTATATGAGCTTAAAAACCAGGAAAGAACCAAAAAGTAGTATTCTTTCCATAAAAAAATAGCTTTCGAAGACTCCAGAGCACTGGGTATCAAGGATTTAGCTTTATATGAATAGTTAATTTGCAAATACAGATAAGAGAGATTAGAAAAATAGTAGAAAAAGGCTTAAAATTTGCCCATAACTAAGTAGTTTCATCAAATTCCTTGTGTTTTTTGCAAATAAACTCTTCATATTGTTTTTTTAAATGAATGTATTCAGACTTTTTCATTTGATTGCGGTAATAGTTTGCGTTTGAGACATGACTAATTTCAACCTGATATAATCTTGTTTTGCGATGATCTGATGGTGCGAGGGCTTTGTCAGAAAATGTGAAAAGAAGAATGTGTTGAGAATGATCTAGAACAAGTATAAGTGCAAGTGTAAGTATAAGATGCACACAGATGTGACACATGACCCGGACCAGTGACCCGGACCAGTGACCCGTCTGACGAGGACCCGCAGACAGCAGCCCAGACATGTCAAGGTAAATACACCTCACTGCCCACAACCGGCGTAGGTCCAAACTAAGGCCAGACGGTCCAGTTCGGCCCGATGTGTCATTCTACGTGGCCCTACGCCTCGATAACCCAAAATACATAAAGGTTATAAACACAAGTTCATAGTGTCATCCAGCCAACTTCCGGCACTGGTGTTGCTGTCGAGAAAGCTATTCAACTAACCTCAGCTCTCACAGATGTTATATATGTATAAATGCTCATGTTTTACCTCATTTTGCTTTTCAAAATAGACCAACTCGAGTCAAAATAGTTTTACAATCCGTGTTGTCGGCCCCTGGACAAGTCTGGCGTAGTAATGAACTTATTATACGCCTTTCACTGCGATCTGAGTCTCAAAGCAGTTACAATGTAATTTTGGCATTGTCTCACTCCACAGGATGGGCGGGCCGTAAGGAGGACATGCAGAACATTGGAATTTTTGTGGGGACGGACCGAGGACCTCGCAGACACGGGGAACATGCAAACTCCATCGAAGGCCTGTCGACGGACCAGACCTTTGTGAGGCGAGTGCATCACTCAGCACGTGCGCCCTGCGAACTACAGCGCCTCAAGCAAAAGTGACTCCTGGCTAAAGAAGTGAAGTACGTCAGTCTATCAAGGATTATTGATTATTGATCCCGGTGATTATTATTATTATTAGAGCTGGCGACACAGAGCTATAAGAAAATACTGGATTATTCAATTAATGTTCAAGACATGTGTTTAAAGGAAGTTTGTTTTTGTCTGTGAGCTGTTGACAAATGTTTTTACTGACAGAGCCATCCAAAAATACTGGATTATTCATTTAATCACTAAATAAAATGTGGTACACTGTGTTAGGTCTTGGTTCTATAGGTCACATGCATCATTTTAATGTTTTAATAAACATTGAACCAGTCCGGCCCTCGGCTTGTCGCAAATTTGTTTTTTTGGCCTTTGATGTCTTTGACTTTGACATCCCTGATCTACAATATGTCAAGTCTTTCAACGCAGCATCAGAATGAGAAAAGAAGCCATTACTATTAAACAAACACAACTACTGCTTTCTCACGTTAACAAACTCCAACAGCTCAAAGCATCAGTCAAACCTTGAAAACGTCAGAAAAATGCTGCCTTTTTCTCTTCACAGTTGAGGCTCCACGCTGCCCTGGGGGAAATGTAATCCAGCTGGCACAATGCGGCTAATCTCGGCACCACATAGTTTAGTTTGACAGTGTGAAAAGGGTTGTTCGTGATCTCGCCACACCAATGCATATCGCAGCTGTCACTCGGAGCGAATCAGCCCCATACAGGAGCGCCGCCACTTATAGAGCACGGTTAAGCTGCGCGCCGATTGTTTAGGTTGCTGCTGCTGTACGTCTAATTGTGTGATAGATAGAAAAGAAGTTATTAATATCCCAGTAAGTGAAAGGGCGATGAGAACGGTAATTATGGTCACGGTTGAAGTTACAATTACCCTAAATATATATTTCCTGTCAAGACGTCACCTGTAAAGTTGAGGTGGTGTCACTTAATAAGGATTTGTGTTTAGTGATGTTCTGTTATCTCCCAACACAACTTTTAAGATAAACTTTATTGATCTCACACTGGAGAAACGTACACGTCACATTTGATAGAAGTGACAAGACAGAAGTGTGCAACATGTTGAAGGTTAGAAATATATAAAAGTGACAATAGCAGTGCTGTTTTTTCAGTCCTAGTGCATTAGTGACTTAAAGTGACTTATTGTACAGTCTGACAGCGGGGGGGGGGGACAGCGTTCTTTCGTTCATTCGTGACAAATTGTAAATAGAAATGCATTTGTAAATACATAATGAAATTGTAAATATATATAACCCATGGTGAAACTAGGGCAAATACTGCTTCTTCATTGTACAGAATAATTATGTTTATATATTTGCATGTAGATACTGTAAGTACAGAAAGATCATGTAAACAAAGAAACGTAAATATTGTAATTACTAATGAATGTAAAAATTCAGCTCGAATGAATAAAATCAATCAATACATTATGGTAGGTAGGTAAAAAAGTAGATTTTGGAAAACAATAATTCACATAATAAAATATTTTGAAAGACATTTAGGAAGATTCATGGACACTAGTCATCCAGCTGTGTTCAAACCGTTTGATTCTTTGATCTGTTGCTGGCAAATTGTCAATTGCTGTTGTGATTTAGGGCTATACAAAAGTAAATTTAACTGAATTGAACCTGGAGTTACAGAGACGGCTTTGGAGAAACCTAAACATCTGAAAAAGTAACGTGTTTGTACGTGCAGTATTTCGCCGCTGGTTGTTCAAGTCTAAGATCATGCTCCTCAGGGTCGGCTGCCAAGAAACAACACCATATCCTGTTCTGCTCAACTGAAAATGTAAAATTGGCGTTATAATCAAGCACAAGTCATGAATATCTCTTGTTTTTTTTTTTTTTTTACTCAAAAGCTGAAACCCAGAGGACCTCAGTAAAAGTGACTCCGAGGCCCCGGATCCAACCCCAGAGGACGACAGGATTAAGGCTCATCATCAGCTTCCTGTCCAGAGACGTTTAAAGGACTTTTGCCCTTTGAAATGATAACTACTGTATTCCCTTTTATTGCTAACCAACCCAAGGGGGCAGAGAATGAAACGTAGAAAGAGAATATGTCCAAATATTTTCCCAGATTATTCTTTGATAGTGGTTATTTTCAAAAGACAAATCTCCTTTCTACTGGCATCCATCCACCAGCATCACGCAGACGTTTGTTTTAACATTGTCACCATTTTTAAAGACCTTTATTGGAAAAGACAGTACTATCTGAATAAATATCTACTTTAAAAACAATATATCTATCTATCTATCTAAAGAACCCGGGAGAGACATTTCTATTTACCTCCATGATATTCTTTGCTTATAGGCGCTTTATATTTTATATTTTTTCACTCTATCAAACACTCTTTTAAATGATTTCTCAAGTATTTGTTGTTTGATAATGAAGGTAAACGCAACATATACAGGAGAGATACTTACACCAGCCGATGCAGATGAACATCCACTTGCGCAGCTTGTCCGTGGAGTAGGTCAGGACAATGGCGGTGTGGAGGTAGCAGCCTTCACCGAACATCCAAAAGAAATTAGTGGAGTGGAAATAATTGAAGCAGGCAATGACCATGCGGCACCAGATCTACAAGGAGGAAGCGTTCATTAGTGGTTTTGTCTGTGAACTTATAGACGTAACAAGTGCAGACGCTGAGCTGGAACAACCCCCATTAGTGAACTTTTTATGTCCTCAAAAGTGTTGTGTGTAGAGGCAAGCGGAAAGCAAAGGGGATTCAGCGAGATTTAATGCTATCCTTGAAAAAAAATCCATGAAAGCAGGTCGTGTGGGGTTTTCTTGGCCAGCAATGCGCCATCTATCAAAAAGCATTCAAACTCACTTAAGTTCAAATTGCAGAAGAAGAAGTCTGACACTGATGATGAATGACGACACCTTTGAAGGTTTTGTGTTTTAAATATACGGCTTGTCTTCAATGTTAAAGCTCGTGACTAACTTTCAGACTAGAAAATTAGTTTGCGGCTCTCAAAATATTATTCTTCGTGTTAGTTTTCAGATGTGTGTGTTTTTGGCCTGCGTCACTTTGAGATAGCGTGTTCTCTGAAGATGGAGATGATGAAAGCATGTGGTGTCTGATTGGATCACAATATTTTACTTTTGCACGACTCTTTCTGTTGGGGCAAACAATAATATTTTTGTTATTTTAGCTGTGTCTGTGTGTGCGTCTGTGTCTGTGTGTGCATGTGTGTGTGTGTCTGTATCTGTATCTGTGTGTGTGTGTGTGTGTGTGTGTCTATCTGTGTCTGTTTCTGTGTCTCTGTGTGTGTGTGTGTGTGTCTATCTGTGTCTGTGTCTGTTTCTGTGTCTGTGTGTGTGTGCGTGTCTGTCTGTGTCTGTATCTGTGTGTGTGTGTGTGTGTGTGTGTGTGTATCTCTGTATCTGTGTCTGTGTCTGTTTCTGTATTGAAGGGAAAGTATTGTAAAAGCTACAGCAACACAAAAATCATAAGTGGCCTTCTTTTTCAGTGATTTAAATATACAATTACAGTCTTTTGACAGTTAGAGCTGCCACAACAGCTTGTTTGTGGCAGCTCTAACTAATGTTTTCACACATTCCTGAAAAGCACATGGCTTAATAACAACACCATGTAAGACATAGGATATGCATCATGCAGGTTTATGTACTCGCCGTGAGGGGAAAATATTTGGTGGTTTTAATGTAATGGTCTTTTGAAGGTTTAATCGTTGCCATCATTTGCCTGTTACGGAGAACATCTGGGCAAATCTGATTATTTATTGAAATCAAATTACATAATTTTATTAAAATGGAATTCTGTCATCTGAAATCTAATAGACATGTCGAAATCAATGCCATAATTCTCTCCACAGATCTGCGATAGCAAAGTGTTTACACTCATTCACCCAGTTCACCAGCAGCTTACCTCGTCTCGTCTCACTCTGAAATATTGATTCTTGAAAATGGTTATCTTTTATTAAACACACATGACGGCAAACAAACAGGCTGCCTAATCCCTTTAATGCCACATAAGCGGCTACTTTCTAATCTTGGCGTTGCACTAATGGCTTTTGGGCTGTTGTATGTCCCAATTTAACTGAGATGTTGAAAAAAGGGGGTAGATAAAAAATCAAACTGAAACAGCAACTTCATTATTTGGTTTTTTGTATAAAAATATAGCTTTGTTGACCTTAAAGGTTGGGTACCAACTTTCACACCATAAAAAAGTATGTCATAAAATCCATCTATAAATCTCGCTATCAAAACAATTTAGATCTATCACTACTTTTCACATGCATGTATTTTTGAAGAGCTTTTTCAGAAGTGAAAAAGAGAGGACCACCCTCACTCGGTCAATCAGCTCTCAGCCTGAATCGTCAAAAATGACTCAGAAGGGTCCTTCTTACAACTATGCACAAGAAAACATGTTTTCTAATCAGATGTGCAGACAGCATGTAAAGGCACGTCCAAACCAACAGGTCAAATGTCACTTTATGTGGCCTTTCCTAACACAAAGTAGCCAACTTCAGCTCCACCAACACAGTCATCTTATACCTTGTTGTAAAGCTTAGGACTTTTGGAATCCAGTCGTTAACGTTTTATATGCAGACACTTGTTTTGATTGAGACTAAGTCCCATGTATGGAGCTGATGTAGCTGTGGTGTAAACCAATAGGGACATATCAAACTCCATTTTAAAGTCCAGCCTGAATCCAGTCCAAACATCTTTACAGTCGGTGTTGTCTGCCCCTGGACAAATTTGTTGAACTAAAGTGGCGCTCTGACTAAAAAGATGTAGTGGTTTGTTCACATGATTTTACTTTTACAGAACCTTTCTGTGGGACAAACAAAATGCATCATTTATGTTAAGGGGAAATGTATGTTCCCCAGCCCCTCCCAATAGTCTAAGTCTCAAACATGATTTCAAATGTCTGACTGACACACATTCAGACGCACGGGCCTTATGTTTTAAAAATAGGTTTTCCTTGTCGCATTCAATGAACAACTGATGTTCCCTTTTCAATTTTTAACGTGCCTGGAGCCGCCCTGACAATGGCAGGTAACATGACAAAACATAATGCCGAGCCTGGGCCGTATACAGTATGGCTATTGTAGGATGTTGTATATGTTTTGTGTTTCCTTCCTTCCTGTGTAAGCGAATACGAGACGGGGAGGACATACCACGTTGCTTTCGTGCACCTCGGGACTCATCGTCAGCTGCATAATGAACCAGGTTGCGTTCCTCAAGATAAAGGCGGTGATGAGGTTCCAGTGGATGATGTTTCTCAGGCAGCGAATGCTCCTGTGAGAACGAAACCAGGATTAACATATTTACACCAACTCTCCGGTTTCAGGCTGCGATGACTTCATGCTATGTTTAGACGTATTGATCTCATGGGTCAGGGGTCGAGAGGAGCCTATATGCAGTGACGTCGCTCCTTCCTGTGTGAAGACGTTCAAATCCAATACTTTTACTTTTGCACAACATCCAAACAGCAGTCGTCTCGAAAGGACATAAAAAAATGTAGATTTCCTAAAAGCAGAAGAACGTGAGACGTAGGAAAATTAGATGAAAAAAAAGATGAACACATCAACTTTCATGGGAAGGAAATTGTAAATGGCCCAGAGCTGTTCTTAGACACTCTTTCTTCAGCAGGAAAAAACATGAAGTGATTATTCGTTAGGGTGTTATAAACTTCCCCACTGTAGGACAAACTTCTTTATCTTACGGCTCAGAGTTATCCTTTGTTGTCGCTTAATATTTGGACATACACGCTGGTTTTAAAGTTGGAGTACCTAACTTTGAAACAACAACACAGTAACTTTGCGACTTCCTCTAAAAACAGGTCTATCACTACTTTCAACATCCAGGTGTTTTTTGGCCTCTGTCACATATTTAGATCTGCTTTATCAGTGAGAAATATACAGTACTAACCCTCACTCAGTCAGTAAAAGATACAAGGTTCTGGAATAAGATGGTCTCGTTTGTCCACAAAATGTTACTTCAGCAAGACTTCTTTCTTAAACTTAAAGGTAAAGGAGGGTTTTCTTTTTTGGAGGCGGATCATCAAAGCTATTGGTCCTTCTAATTATCAATCATTCTGGCGATTTGTGACGTGAGGCTGTCGTGTAGCTCGTCAAACAAGACCAGAGCTTCACTCGCGACGTTTCTACTCGACAGGTAAAGTTTGGATTCTATTTGGAGAAATTTCAAATCACTTCAGCGAAAAGTTATATACGTCTTTATTGTCTGACATTATGGAAAAAAGTGTGACAGTGATGCCGAGGAGAACTGGGCTCGTGCACGTCTCTCGCACACGCCTTAGGAGCAGGTAGAGCGTTGCGCAAATGCATTTTTTCAAAAAGTGGAGAGGGCGGTTCTTTCCTAAAATATTGAAAAATCCTCCTATATACATTCAAACCTCTTAAACATAACCTCTTTGTCTTCGGGATAAAAATGTATTTCTGAAACCAAAGAAACTTAAGTAAAGGTAAAGGTGCACTTTATTGATCCCCGTAGGGAAATCAATCTTCTGCATTTGACCCATCCTGATGCCGCTAAGGCTTAAGTCAGGAGCAGTGGTTGCCGTAGTAACAGCGCCCGGGAACCCATCTCCAGATGCTGATGCTCGGCTTGGTCAGGACTACAGGAGCCTGAGGATTCAACCTAGTGTGCATGTTTTTAGTGGTAGGGGAAACCAGAGTACCCAGAGAGAACATGCAAACTCCACTCAGAAAGACCCAGTTCCGACCGGGATTTGAACCCAGGACCTTCTTGCTGCCCCCGTGCCACCCCCTTATGTACTCTAGCTTTAACATTTGCAAACCTAATCTGTGGAAAACAAGAAAAGATAATATAAAATAGACTTTTGGCATGGAGTCTGTGCAGGATATAACTATGTGCAATAATTTAAAAAGGCAACATATTTTCCTAAACACTCAGTTTTACTCATAAAATCCTTATGTTTATCAGACTGGGACATTTGTCATATAATTATTTTATTAATCTTTTTATTTGTGATTACTCCTCTGCATATGTGGGCAAAAACTGTTCTCAGAGGAATTTGTTAATGGTTTTCAGATCGACTGTGTAATCAGTTTAATCTGCCGTCCTCACATCAGCAGATGGCACGATATTGTCACTGGCTTTTTATTGAATGAAAAGTGAGACGTCCGCTCGACTCCAGTATTTCTCTCGCACTAATTCAAGATTTTGGTTTTGAACATGCACACATTCATATATCTATTCTTATGAGATCCACATTAGTCTCCAGCAAAGCACTTTTTCCTTTGCTCCGTCACAGATATAAAAACATATTTAAAAATTGCAGCAGAGAGGCAGAAACACAAAACCAAAGCAAGGTGGATTTCAATATAAGTTCCTTTTGCTTTGTATCAGATTCGAGCCCAGAATACATTTACGTTTTTACCAATTGTGTCCAAAGAAAAATACATGTTTGAGATATACTGATAGACAATGATCAAGAATTCCATTTTCTGCGGCGGGTCGGGGTTGGAGTCTGCGTGCTGCATGTGTGGTCGACAGTCACAGGAAACCACAGGGAACACGCTACATGTTATCTACATGTTTTTGCTTTTTGCACATTTCGTACCACAAACCGGCAGGAAGGACACTACAGCATAAAGCCAAAGTGCAGAGGTTTGGTCCGTGTCGCATTCATGATTTAAACAATAACATTCCCATCAATAAAGTGTTACCATTGCACGTTTTACTTTGTAGAAATAACAAACAAGGCTTTAGAAAAATAAACAGTTTAGTAGCCACACATACAGATGAAAAGAAGTTAATTCATTTCTGAAACTCAATTTGAAATGGCAAACCAATTCATGACACGAACTCATGCAAAGTGACATTTACCAATCATTTTGTTATTATGGTTAATCGTTTATTAAGATAAGAGATAAGATAAATTAAGTCGTCCCACAGTGGGGAAATTCCAAAGTCATTGTTGCGCATTACAGCAGAAGAAAACATAGGAATTAAGAGCACTCATCAAACAAGGTTATTTACTTAAGATAATAAAATTAAAATAATAAGTAATAAAATGTGCACTTTATTGATCCCCGTACGGAAATTTCCCCTCTGCATTTGACCCATCCTGATGCCGCTAAGGCTTACGTCAGGAGCAGTGGTCGCCGTAGTAACAGCGTCCAGGAACCCATCTCCAGATGTTGACGCTCGGCTTGGTCAGGTTTTTAGTGCTAGGGGAAACCAGAGCACCCGGAGGAAACCTAAACAGACACCGGCAAAACATGGTCAGAATGACCCTGTTCTGACCGGATTTCGAACCCAAGACCTTCTTGCTGAGAGGCGAGAGGGCTAACCACTCAGCCACCGTGCTGCCATATTGTATGTTGGTACGTATGTTGGTTGGTTGTATGTAACTATGGAGCTATAATTGCACTTGGTTCAGAGATATTTACAGATGTGTAAAAACTTAGTTCCACATTTTTATTTTAATGGAAGAAGTAAATGGACTTTTGAACCATATTCTAATTTTCAGAGTTTTACCAGCCACACTGCAGCCAGCAACGAACGTCAAATATTGCTGACAAAGACTTGGGATGTTTTAACGGGTTGAAGGCCAGATATTCTGACCCTCTTTCCACTTACATTCTAAAAAAACATCCTCTTCCAAACAATCACAACATTCGTCCAGATTTTGGGTGAGTAAAGGTTAGTTAATTAACCAGTCGCGTTCTCATAAGCCCTGGGGTGAAATTGAGCTGACACTAAAGGGACAGGGTTAAATGGAAGCTGCATCGTTGTTGAGCGATAATGAAGAGCCACGAATATCAGAAAAGCACAGAGAGAAACCCTTTTAAGCTCGAGCCAATCCACAATAAGATCTTTGTCAGTTTTCTCGGAAACAGAGGACGATCATGAATTATGAATCCACGGCTGCTTTCAGAAAACATCTCTCCCCCACGTTTTAGACACCTACTATAATATGGAGGCATTTGTTTCGCTTCTCGTTATTGTCTCAAGGATGTAAATCTCTTGTCCCCGGGATACAATTAGACGTAGCCTATAGAAGGAGCATGTGTGTTTGAAAATAGCAGCAGCAGGATTGAAAAGACGAGCCGACGGTGAAGGGACAGAGCGTCTTGTGTCAGCCTCATCATCAGCCGTCTCCCCGAGAACCAACCTTGAAGGACGTGATTTATTTTTAAATATGCATCAATAATTAACAGTGTTGACTTTTGCTTGGTCTTTGTTGACCCAGTAATTTGGACCAACTTGACAGAAACTAAATGTGTAAAACCAATGAAGAAGAAATCTTAGGAAGCATTTTTGGCCAGAATTATAATGAGACTATTTATTGTTTCATGTTTTAGAATGTGAAATATATTATCAGATATTGTATATATTAAGTAGATACAATAAGACGGAACAATAGTAAAAAAGAAGATTATTGTTGGTAAGTCCCTTCCACCAGAGAGAGGAGCTTTTGTGTTTTTAATCTTTCAAATTTGAAAATTACAGACTGCAAACACAGTCATGTGTGGCCATGCTTTCATGCGAAGGCCAGATCCTGTCAGACCTCTGAAACTGTGCAGGGCAGAGCCTGGTTAGTGCTGTGATGGGAGACCTCTGGGAACATCAGGTGCCACAGTGGGGCAACTGCAGCTGTAAAGTGTATAATTGTTGTTGTGTCCTTAGGCAAGACACTTCACCCACATTAGAATGATTCTGGTGTGTGTGTGAATGGTTGTTGGTGGTGGGAGGGGCTGATGGCACGGACTGGTTAGCTCACTTCTGTTGGTGTGCCCCAGGGCAGCTGTGGCTACAGTAGTAGTTTATCACCACAGTGTATGGAGTGACAGAATAGGCAAAGGCAAGGCAAATTTATTTATAAAGCACCATTCACATAGAAGCAACCCAGGGTGCTTAACAGGCACAGAAAGAACGTTGGCAAACAATAAAACATTACAGGAATAAAAACCTACATGTGAAGTTTCTTTGAGGGTCCTGAAAAGTGCTGTTTAAAACCAATGCATTCATATTATTATTATTATCCTTATTATAATGTGATTTTAAATAAAGTAATTCCACTTGAGAATCTGATTTATGGGTAATAATTTTGCTTTAATTAAGTGTGATGTCATAGAGGCCAATAATAAAATTACAGAACTGGGCGCGGTTCGATTCGTGCCAGAGAAGAGCGTGGATGGATCTATGTTTTTTACGAGGATGTTATGTTTGGACACCTCTTTTCCTCTTTGGTTTTATGTCTTATCTTTTTATGTCCAGTTATTTTTGGGTTTTATAGTTTCTTTAGTAAGATTGTTTTTTTATAAGTATATTTTATAGGTTACATTTTTGATACTGTTTTGTAACTTATTTTGAGTAACTTGTTTTGTATATTTTGCAGCTCAGGCCGGGAGTATAAGAAGCGCTGTCCTGGTGCCCGCCCCTCTCTGCTCTCAGCCTCTTCTGTAGCACCTGCTGAGGTGAGCGTGCACGTGCTGCGCACTCCCTCTTGGTCCTGGTTGCGGCCTCCCCAGACGCCGCATGGTTTGGTTGTTTTCTTTAACCGTTTGTTAGCTTTTTCCCTGCCCTTATTTTTGTTTGATCTGGTGGGTCCGGTGGTTATATTTTTATTGGTGAGGGTGTAACTAGTTGGGTTTTGTTTATTCTTTAGTTAAGGTGTCGGCATCGGATCCGGACAGCCTTGTATAAGGGTTGGTTCGGTGTCGGCCCATTTTGTTTGTTTTGGCTGGCCCACCAGGTCCACCTTTAATTTGATTACTTTGGGTTTTTGTGTTCTGGACACGGGGTTGGGTTTTTTTCTTGTGATTTAATCGTCATATTAATAAATAAGAAACTAGAGTTCACTTAAAAGAATGTATAAAATATATCAATTTTGAACTCTCAACCTGTCTGTGTCCTCCAAATATGTTTTGTCCTTTGGGTCGTAACTTTTGCATAATATGAGTCCGTGTTGTGCGTGTTCTGTGGTTGGTGTCGCTCTAATTACACGCAAATTATATTTCCGCTTTGTAACTCCACAAAAGTCAGTGTTAAGTTACATCCACTATAAACCCTGGGTGTTTATAAAGTAGAAATATTATGTGTCTGCGTTTGGTTTCATTCATTCATGTTGCCGTAATCTCATACTCTCCAGCATTATATTCCGTGTGCATAGTTGCTCGCACCTCCCTGGCTTTTTGAAAGGTTGTAAAACACCCGCTGCCCTTTTTACTTGCTATCACAGAAATAGACAATGTTAGACGCTTGAGAAAGTTCCCCATTTGTCACGCCTCACCTAACTTTTTTCTTGGCGTCATTTCAAGAGACGGCGCGAGCTGGAGCTAAAATAAGAACCAAACACTCTTTTAGATTAGACTTGAGCCGAGGATGAACTTTTCCACAAGTGAAGAATCTTCTCTCCTTTCGCTCGCTTTGGCCGCCGCTCCCTGCGCTGCTTTGGTTTCTCTATTTGTCATTGGCAGCCGCAGCCTTCTCTTAAGTGGCTTCTACCTCAATCGCTCCATAAAGCAAAGCAGGTGGGTAATAAATGCCAAAGCTCTGCACTATCTCAACAGCATTTTCAACGAACGATCTACAGCTCTTGTCTTTCAATGTCAGTGCTATTTTCTCTTTTTTTTCTTTCAAGACGGCGCCTCTGTGGCCCAAAAACACGAGTACTGCATAAACACGTTCTGTCAAGTTTCTATTTACTAGGCCACTGCGCCCTTTCACGCTTTTCGCACTCCCCGGGGGTGTCTGGGGGTCGATAGCCTCCTCAGCTGTCCGCGGCGCTAAGACCTTTCTCTCGTTAACGCATGCTTTATTTCAGGTTGTCAGAAAAGTCCCCTCCACCTGCAGATGCCACCGAAGCCAGACCCATGTGAGAGTACAGTGGTCCCGTGTATATCGCAAGGTTACGCTCTAAGAATAACCCGCAAACAGCAAAATTTGCAGCAAAATAGCAGTTTTACGGCTGTAAAAACCATCATCGTGAACTTTATACACTTTTATAAACGCCTGAACTCACGACGGCTGAAGTGCGGTGGCTGAGATATCAAACCTGTCGTAGGTGTAGGTCTGAGCGCTGCTGCAGCTGTCGAAAGCTGTGCATACACTGTTAAACACAGCAGCAGAGGACGCCGCGCTGAGGAGCTGGACTGAGGCTTACGGGAAGACCGCAGAAGTCCTCTATACATATCACAAGACACACAAGTTTTCTTACATGGCAAAAAAAATGATTCTGATTCTGAAATAAATGGTGTGTAATTTATTTGAGCAGTGACAGTGCACAATTAAACATTTTCACAGAGGAGAGATGCATTGTACCAGGCTAAAACAAAGAGGCTGATTTCCACCCGTAGTCCCTGGGCCGGCTGATGTTATAGATTCAAGTTATCTGTCATTGTTTTACCAGCGGTTATATGATGTTGTTGGAGATTAAATACGGTGTACATGAAGCAAGGCTGTAAATTAGCACTGCTACAATACATCTCTCCTTTTGGTTAATGCTACTGTCTCCGTATTATTAGAAATCATACCTTACAAATATTTCCGTGACGAAGAGCATGCAATTTCAGATTTGTGTTGGAGAAAAGTAAATAAGATAAGATAAGATAGACTTTATTGATCTCACACTGAAGAAATTTACATGTCATTTGGCACAGATAGAATCACTCAGATTGTTCAAAAATGTCCCTCAATTAGTGACAGCTTTTGTTTTTGCTCTTTTTGAAGTGTGATCGTGGTAAATCTCGCAGGCCAGTCCACACGGTTGTTTGCTAATATAACATCCCTCACACCAGAAAATTATTCCCCATTTGCGAGGGGAGAATATGCCCCAATTTTTGCGGTTGCTTCTAAACCTGAGCTCCGCCTCATCTGCCGGACTGAGATAGGGGCACGTTTGATCCCATGACCAAACGGGTTTTGAATAAGAACGTGAAGCGCTTTGGAGAACGGCGTCACATCCGTGCAGTGAGAGGGATGATCGGTGCAGACAGACACCCACCTCAAGCACAGGAACAGGAAGAAGGCGATGAGCAGGGCCACCATGGAGATGCAGTGCCCCAGGAAGTTGATAATCACTGCTATCTGGTAGTGCATCTTGCCTTTTTTCTGCAGAAAGATCAGAGTGGACTTTGTTATTAAAAAAGACAGACCTAAACTTAAAATAAATGTATGGTATTTATTTTTTACAGGGATAGTGTGCAATAAACATGAGCCAAGAGGAGAGATGCATTGTAGCAGGTTGTAGCCGTGCTAAAAGTAGATGGATACATTACCAGACAGAAATGACAGTTTAATTGACCATACAAGTTATAATAAAACCACCTTGCCCCATTCTTCACTGTCTCTCTATACATACATCCATATAATGAACACACACACACACACACACACACACACACACACACACACGATTCATTGTCAAATGAAATGCATTGGTTTAAGTCTAATGTTGTCTATTTATGATTTAATATTGGCTCAAAATACAATATAAATAATGGACTGATATGTATTGATACTGAATAATCCACCTCATACAAATTACAATCCTGGATACATATGTTTTAAAGAAAGTTTGAGAAAAATCTAAGGATAAAAATAATCTTGGGTTTTCTTAAGAAAAATTGATGCATAAATTAATAAATAATGTAAATATACAATCTGGGGAATATTCTAGCTCAGACTAAATTGAGTAGTAAGAAATTATGAATAGAATTAATTATTTTCTATTGCCGGGGAACACACACACACACACACACAAACACACGCCCACAGACACACACACACACACACCCACACACACAGACACACAAACACACGCCCACACACTCACTATACAAATATATTTTCAGTGTTATTTTTGCCAATGTTTTGTGATAAAAACACAAATTCATCTTCCCTCAATCCCAGCTGAGGGAGCATTGTGTTGGGCTTGTCCTCAGGAGTAATCTGTGCTATAAGTGGGTTTATGTAACCTGCTGGTGTCTCCTCCCAGATTAAAAGTGGGCATATTTTTAATCCCTTGGCACCCGGACACACGTCATCTCTGTCCCATTCGCAATATTTGTTTGACGGCGTCCCAAATCCTCATCTCCAAATCTAGCAGACTGATCACTCAACACTCGCCTTGGCTCAAAAACACTCATTAATTTGGTCACGGCGTAAAAGGAATCACGGATCAGAAGACGGAGAAGCAAAGTGGGAATAACGCTGCAGAAACAGGACGGACTCTGAGAAAAGACCAGGAGGCCACACATTACTGAAGAGCAAATACACCCAGAGATTGGAAAAATAACACATAAACGTTACTCAAATGGGTTAAGGCGTAATATGTTCTCTGTGTGGTCTGGTTTCCCCCAAAACATAACAGGGGTGCCCTGGCCCCTCCCCTCTGGGATAGGACTCCCCCGAACAGGACATTCTGCATCTCAGCGGGACGGTCCTGCTCAAATAAAGATCAAGAAGAAGAAGACGTGTTTAATTGTGTTTATTGAGGCTTGAGAATTTAATCTGCCTTTTAGAATACAAGTATATTCTGGATCGGATGATAAATAAACTGACTTTGTAGAAGGTATTAAGAATAACTCACAATAATTTTGTCTTGTTTTCTTCTCTGAATATCAAAAACATTCTTTTGGCTAAAACAGGCGAAGAGAGTTTCTTTGCTGTAGTTGTAGAACGTGATTAGACTAGATTTACTTGGATGGAGCAGAAAACAACTCCAGGTTTGTTTTTGAAGAGGAAACCGTGTTGTGACACAGTAAAAGCTCAAACACAGATTTACATAAAATGCAAATCAGGTTTAAACTAGTTCCGCAGAAGACTGACTGTTGTTTACTTTGTCTAAAACAAAAACAGCAAAAGTAAATATTCACAGAAACCTGTTTATGTGAATGAGTGTCTGTGTGTTTTTTACCAGAGTCTACTCTAAAAGCAAAAGTGGAGGAAAAGAATAATAGACATGTGAGTAAATCCTCTTCTGTCGGCTCTAAAGAGATAAACTGGAAGTAATGTGGATGTAAATGATGAGGTTTGAGAGAGAAAATGTCAAACCTACAGTACTTCCTACTGCTCAAAATGTCTTTGTTTTCTTATTAGACTTTGATAAAATGTAGTCACTTATAAGTCTTTGGAACTACTGGAAAAGAGGATTCTTTGACTGGTTCAAAGAGAATTATTGCCGCAAGCATTACATTTTTAATTGTTACAAATTCTCCCAAAATACACTCTAGTTCTGTGCGTTTGTAACACTGCAACACCGCAATCTCCCGCCAACTGCAAGACTAAACATGAAAGCAATAAATCAAAATTAAAAATATCTGGTCCAACTAGTTTTTTTCTCTGTCGAAACAAGTCTCGTTGAGGAAGTAACCTTGAGTGAATCCTGGGAGGAAATGGAAGGTTTGATTATTCTCTCAAACAAACTTTCTCTTAAGCGCTTGATCCACTCCCATCGGGAACGTCGCGTTTCTGGTTCAATACCGACTTGAAAGAAGCGCCCCCCGCACCCCCCGCACCCCCCGCACCCCCCGCACCCCCAACACTTTTACCACCGCACAAGTCCGTCTCCATGCCGACGTCAATCACTCCACACACAACACACTGCCCAGCGATTTATTTCAGTCTCGCAAATGGGAAAAAAAATCAAACACATTTTTAAAAAGGTCAGACAGAAAATATATCTTCAGGCTGAGATCGATTGGACATCATCCCCTTCGGAGAGTAGAAAAGTAAACACAGAATGAGGAGCGTCTTTCTAAAACAACAAGTCAGTAATCTATAATGTACAAATGACTCCAGCTGAGAGATGTGTTTTCGCGGCATTGATATTCATTTGTTCCTTTCTGCGGATTGAAAGTTGCCAGACGTTCATTGAAAAAGCTCTTTATGCGCCTCCTTAACTTTGACGGCTGACGACTTATATCTGAAACTTTTTGAAATCCTTCCTGGTCCAACTTTTCGGCTTGTCGATTCAGGACACACGTTTACTCATTCTCTGAGCCTCCCACTCAGGGCTGGAGCGATTGGGTGGAGGGTTCTGACACTTGTGACCGGACGCCTGGAAGTCAGAGAATCTGCTCTTATCTTGAATTAATTGTTCACAAGAAGTAAACAGAGTGAAACCAAAATATTGACAGCTCAACATGGGTCTTCCATTTAACTTAACAAATGCTATTTCGGACCGTTCTGGACTTTTCACATGACTTAAACTAATTAGGACCAAAGAAGGACTAAACTGATTTTGCAGTCGTTAACTACTTTGGCACTTTAGGACGAGACACTTTCACAAGAAAATAATAAACTGGTCCAATGTTTTTGGTTTTTGTGGGTACTACCTCACCTGCTTCATGACTACACACCGGTGCTCATCAGTTACCGGTACTTCTTTTGTCAAATGTAAAAATGTTAAACTTCTTTTATTATTATTATTATTTTCAAGATAGTTTTATACTTGTTATTTGATGCTAGAGTTAGATATTTTTCAAAAAGTATAGCTATTGTTCACTTATCTCGTCCTGTGTGCTCCTCATACTGTTCTATAACTTGTGATGCAACACTGAATTTTCCCCACTGTGGGACAAATAAAGGGTCTCTTAATCTTAATCCTCAGCTCATGCAGCAACTCAACTCCTCCCCAGCACCACCACAACAGAGGAAACATCACACTTCACCCTCATCGGCTCATCATTTCACCACCAGAGTTCACTTTCACAGTCTCCGTATAATTCTCCTGTGTATGCTCATATGCATATGTACAAACAGGTCAATAAATGTAATTAAAACTATCTTATATGTCTGTCGTGTGGTGACCGACGGAGGCCTTCTCACTAGAAAACTTCCAACACACTCGACAAACATCATTCCATCTTTCCTTTTGGCTTGACTCTTTCCAGATTAAAATGGATACAATATATCCAATAGATAAAATAAATACATTGTCGTTTTTTTTTTATTCATACGGCATTATTATCACTTTCATTCATAAAGAAATGCCTGATAAGTGAAAACGGTGTCGAGACTTAACCGCACCAAACTATACCCCTGCTTAGCACAACAAAGAGAGGCCGAAGCTCAAAGTACAGAAGCCTGAGAAGGTCAAACTTCCATTCTCAGTGGACCTAACTTCAAATCCCCACAAGTTTTTTCGAAAGACATTCTTGACATTTCTTCAATCAAACATCTCTTTGCAGTTTTAGTTGGAATGATGAAAAATAGATGACGCTAAAAAGAACCTAAAAATATCCCTGGAATGGGCATTATTCCCGAGAGCTTTTCGTCAGCGCGCTAAAAGTAAACATCAACAAGTATTTTCAGGACACGTGGGAACTTTGCCACATTTTTATCTGGTTCTGTTTACTCACGAGTGACATTATTAGAGACAACATAGGAATAAAAAGACAAATGGAACGGATCAGTTATTATGCTACATGCTTGTTATGCCTGCTTTGAAACGATAAGACGCATTCAGAGTTTTTAGACACGGTTAAAGTCCTTAAAAGTCGATAATGATCTTCGCTGAAAGGATTTTGTCATAGCCCGTCTGCGAGTGGCTCTCTTCAGACCAATAACATACTGTAGCGCCTGGAAACAGCAGTCAGTTCTCATGCGAGGTTTGTGCCTGAAGCAAAATGCAAAGACAGGTATTTTTTCAACATGCAACTGTATTATGCATCATATTTAAAGACAGTCTATAATTAAAACCGAGTAAGAATCTCAGCGCTTGTTTGTAGCATTCAATGAGTCCCAGCCAGAAACAAATACACAAAGCTGGGCCCTCACACCTCGTTTTGCATTCTCTCTCTTTTGCCTTAGATCAGTGCTGGGTCACGATGTTCTGGCTAAATGCAGCGATTAAAGTGAGCGCTGGAGCACATCAAAATGACCAACTAGGTGACAGGTAAAAGCATGTAACAAATGCAAATCCACATGCGCTTGAGAGTAACTATTGTGGGAGATGGAAATGATCTCCAGAGCTACAGTTTGGTACAAGCATCGTGGCTTTTATGCCTAACATTGTCCTGATAGATAAACAAATGAAAGCAAATGAGCCGAGCGGGACTACAATTTATTATCCCTCCATCTCTTCCGTGTTTGTCGAACATGACCAGAAGGCAGACATTGTGCAGAAAATGTCTTGCCTTTTGAGGAGTTTATAAAAAAAACCTTTACCAGAGCAAAAGATACATGGCTCTAGGTTGATTCGTAAAGATTTAAAGCTTGTATGCATGTGGGAAGGGTTTGAAATTGCCTTACAAACGCGAGAGTGATGACATTATAGCCATGTTAGCTGTGACATGGTAATCCCACGTCTGTATTGTACGGTGGGGTTTGCTGGTACCACCTTAAAGGAGTAAACGCCAGTGAATGTGCTGCATGTACTTTCGGGCTCGGCTTATAAATCTCACGATTCTAACTTGTGTTTACTATAAATACATTTCACATAAAGTGCTGCGCTCACCGTTCAGGCCTCAATGTCAAATGTGTGTAGCTGCCCCACTAACTATAATGAATGTGTGTGTGTGAGGGAAGCAGGCTCATTAATCACAAGAAATGCACCGGCACACACTGCTGACCGTGACTGAAAGTTAGCCCTGGTTTAGTCCATGTTAAGTCCTGGATCAGTCTATGTTAACTCCTGGTTTAGTCCACGTTAAGTCCTAGTTAAGTCCTGATTAAGTCCCCAGATTTAGAGTGTAGTTAAGACTGTGTTCTGCTCTTGACTACGTGAGCTGCGGTTGATCTAAAACACTTCTATCCTTTGCTTAAGACATGTTTTCTTCATAAATCTCTTTACCTCTAGATTTGTCCAGTTTGAACCAAGCTTCTTCCTTTGACCAAAATACATCAATCTATACAAGGCTATACAATAGATTCAATAACTAAAACCCTTGGGTCAGACCTGAGCGGCCTCTTCTGCCTCTATTTAAATGTTCGTTCGTTCGTTCGTTGGTTTTCCTCCGCTTCATCCGTTGCCGGGTCGCGGGGGCAGCAGTCTAATCAGAGACGCCCAGACTTCCCTATCCACACACACTTCCTCCAGCTCGTCCGGGGGGACCCCAAGGCGTTCCCAGGCCAGCTGAGAGACATAGTCCCTCCAGCGTGTCCTAGGTCTTCCCCGGGGCTTCCTCCCAGTGGGACGTGCCCGGAACACCTCCCCAGGGAGGCGTCCAGGAGGCATCCGGAACAGATGCCCGAGCCACCTCAACTGGTTCCTCTCAACGTGGAGTAGCAGCGGCTCTACTCCAAGCTCCTCCCGTGTGACCGAGCTCCTCACCCTATCTCTAAGGGAGCGCCCAGCCACTCTGCGGAGGAAGCTCATTTCGACCGCTTGTATCCGCGATCTCGTTCTTTCGGTCACTACCCAAAGCTCATGACCATAGGTGAGGGAGGGAACGAAGATTGACCGGTAAATCGAGAGCTTTGTCTTTCGGCTCAGCTCCCTCTTTACCACAACGGTCCGATACAGCGACCGCATCACTGCGCACACTGCACCGATCCGCCTGTCAATCTCACGCTCCATCCTTCCCTCACTCGTGAACAAGACCCCGAGATACTTGAACTCCTCCACTTGAGGAAGGACCTCTCCACCCACCTGTAGAGGGAAAGGCACCTTTTTCCGGTCGAGCACCATGGCCTCAGATTTGGAGGTGCTGATTCTCATCCCAGCCGCTTCACACTCGGCTGCAAACCGTCCCAGTGCATGTTGTAGGTCCTGGTTTGTTGGAGCCAACAGGACAACATTGTCCGCAAACAGCAGAGATGAAATCCTGTGGTCTCCGAACCGGACCCCCTCCGGCCCTTGGCTGCGCCTAGAAATTCTGTCCATGAATACAGTGAACAGAACCGGTGACAAAGGGCAGCCCTGGCGGAGGCCAACATGCACCGGGAACAGGTCTGACTTACTGCCGGCAATGCGAACACAGCTCTGGCTCCGGTCATACAGGGACCGAACGGCCCTCAGCGGCCCTATTTAAATGTATGGGAATCAATACCCACTGAAGGGAGCCTTAATGCGTGTTACCAATACCATGGCATGTTATACCCCATTTTAAATTTCTCATTTAAATTTCTACAATACCCCGCCTTTACCTTTAGTCAATCAAAAAACTACTTCCAAATACGTATTCAATAAAATTATAATTGCTCAAAATATCACCCATAACATTTTTTTAAATTTAAAACAATGACAAAAGATGAGCTATAAACAAGTTTTCCACAAACACAAAGGAAACACTGGATATCTTGGCTTTCTCTCCTTCGTGGCCAAATTTGCATGCGAAAGCCAGATCCTGTCAGACCCCTGAAACTGTGCAGGGCAGGGCCTGGTTAGTACTATGATGGGAGACCTCTGGTAACACCAGGTGCCACAGTCAGGCGGCTGTAAAGTGCTAAACTGTTGTTGTGTCCTTAGGCAAGACACTTGACCACCCCTCAAGAATGAGTCTGGTGTGTGTGTGAATGATTGGTGGTGGGAGGGGCTGATGGCACATACTGATTGCCGTGCTTCTATCAGTGTGCCCCAAGGCAGCTGTGGCTATAGTAGTAATTTATCTCCACCATGCTTTGAGTAAAAGAATTTGAATGTCCAAAAAGCGCTATACAAAACCAATGCATTATTATTATTATTCTCTACTTTAAAATGTTTTAACTGGAGCAGCTTAAATTGCAATTGTGTGAAAACTGGTCCAACTCCTGCCGTATATACTAATTTATCTCCAAAACAAGCAGGTGGCTGCACTAGAGCAAGGTCAGGTCTGTGGAGCAGAAAGCCCACTCACATTAAGAACAAAGGAAACAGAACAGAACACATGGTATAAAACCAAACACACGTTCTCTCCATTCGCTCGGTTTGTGTTGTTCATTTTGACCAGGAAAGGAAAAGGTTGAGCCGGTCCTTCTCCTGAGACACATGGCAGCTTTGTAAACAACTCCTCAGGTTTAACAGCACCTTTGTTTCATGAAGACATCTCCGAGAACAACACACCACACATGAATTCAGTCTTTGTTTTGAAATGTTTTGTCGTCAAAGTCAAATGAATGCAGTTATTCAGGAATTATAATGACATTTTTTTGTGCAAATATTTATGATTGTATCCCCATTGTCTAGTAAGAGTATAAATAAACATACTAGTGCATAGCTCAGTGTTGTGCCATGAGCTTTAGTTATTACTTCTAATTTTTAGATCTAAAAGTCCATGCACAAATGTGAGTTTGTTTATGGTTTGGTTTGGAGATCCGGAAGTGAAAAGTCCAACTTGGATCTGGTCTCTTCAATTGTTCCATTCATTCATTTATGTTTGGTAATATTTTGCACTTTTAGACAACACAAATATTTGCTTTTTGTCTTAATTTTGCTATTGACTAAATCTATAAAGAAAGTTATTATTCAACAAAATTGTGTAGACAAAAATCTAAAAAGTCTAAGTAGGCATTAATAGTAAAAATATTTTATGTGTTGGATTTTTTCAGTATAGAAAATTAACAAAATATGACATTCTAAGACTAATATCTCACTCTAAATGTGTTGATATTGTTTAAAAAAACAAACAAAAAGCACACATATTCACAGTAATAAAAATGTGTATTGACTCTCTCTCTTTCCGGCAAAAAAGATTCCCGACCTCTGATCCACCTTCTGATTCTGAAATGGACTGAGACCTGGTCGAGTCCTCACTGGTTCCTGGACCTTTACAAAGTCCTGATTCAGCTCAAGGACTGTAATGAGCCCATCTTTAAACAGACACAGCCTTACCTCCTCGTGAAGGATGGCCTTACACATGGAGTAGTTCCCTTTGGAGGCCCAGGTCCCGTTCGCCAGACACTTCCTGTACACGTTATCTGCACAAAAGCAAACAAAGAGGCATCATTAGACCATCCTACTGCTATAAAAGGCAACATGGAAAACCTCAGCTGCTTCCACATTTTGAGAAAAATAGGTAAAAGTGTGAATGGCTGAAGAATAGTCGAGCTCAGCACTTATATTTTAAACATACCGACATGGTTAATGGACAATACTGCAGTACATCACGGCGCTATAGACTATTCAGCACATTTCACATAGGGTCAAAGAGGGTTGCCCAATAACACAGGAAAGTACTCCCTTCTACTCCTCTAATCACCTCGTTCTAGAAACCTCCATCATTCATTTTGCTTCTGTTTTATTAAAGCTGGCAATCTCCACAGAAATAAGTCCTATATAGACTAGGACGCGGTTTGAGCCAACAGGGAAAATATACAGCGGCGAATGTCTGTGAACAGAGATCACAAATCAACTTTGAATCCTACTTTTCGCAATTAGAAGAATTGATTTTCCACTAAGTTACGGAACAAACTGAGCAGAATAATGAAGTATTTGAAGTAATAATCTTTATTTATGTGGCACTTTTCACAGACTGTGGTCACACAAAATGTTTTATAATTTGGTGGATTTTTATTTGACTTCAACGGAACTGCCACACAGGAAGGGCCTCCATAACAACTTTACACTTGCCTCAAAACTGGAGCACCTGGAGGAACCCTCAGGCCTGAGTGACTATGGGTTAACGTATATAAACGCGCCTCAGTCCAGGATACAGCTTCGGTCCCCATCTTCAGACTCAGTCCTGGATCTATAGAATCAGTCCTGGATCTGCAGCCTCAGTTCTGGATCTACAGCCTCAGTCCTGGGTCTACAGCCTCAGTCCTGGATCTACAGCCTCTGTCCTGGGTCTACAGCCTCTGCCCTGGGTCTACAGCCTCAGTCCTGGATCTGCAGCCTCAGTCCTGGATCTACAGCCTCTGTCCTGGGTCTACAGCCTCAGTCCTGGATCTGCAGCCTCTGTCCTGGATCTACAGCCTCAGTCCTGGGTCTATAGAATCAGTCTTGGATCAACAGCCTCTGTCCTGGGTCTACAGCCTCAATCCTGGATCTACAGCCTCAGTCCTGGGTCTATAGAATCAGTCTTGGATCTACAGCCTCTGTCCTGGGTCTACAGCCTCAATCCTGGATCTACAGCCTCAGTTCTGGGTCTACATCCTCAGTCCTGGATCTGCAGCCTCTGTCCTGGGTCTACAGCCTCTATTCTGGGTCTACAGCCTCAGTCCTGGATCTACAGCCTCAGTCCTGGATCTATAGCCTCAGTCCTGGATCTACAGCCTCTGTCCTGGGTCTACAGCCTCTATTCTGGGTCTACAGCCTCAGTCCTGGATCTGCAGCCTCTGTTCTGGATCTGCAGCCTCTGTCCTGGATCTATAGCCTCAGTCCTGGATCTACAGCCTCTGTCCTGGGTCTACAGCCTCTATTCTGGGTCTACAGCCTCTCTCCTGGGTCTATAGAATCAGTTCTGGGTCTACAACCTCAGTCCTGGGTCTACAGTGCAGGTAAGCATGTGTGCCTCTCCGCAGCAGAGGAGGCTCGCAGCAGAGGAGGCTCGCAGCAGAGGAGGCTCGCAGCAGAGGAGGCTCGCAGCAGAGGAGGCTCGCAGCAGAGGAGGCTCGCAGCAGAGGAGGCTCGCAGCAGAGGAGGCTCGCAGCAGAGGAGGCTCGCAGCAGAGGAGGCTCGCAGCAGAGGAGGCTCGCAGCTTGCGGCCGCGAGTCTCCTGTGAAGTCTGCTGCTGCTCCTGACCCTGTGAAGTCTATGGGGAAGTGGAGAGGACAGTACAGCCCAGATAACGGCTCTGTATAAGCACAAGTCAGATATGTAATTGTTTGTCCTCAATGGTGTTTCTGTGGCTGGTTGGGTCAAATGCAAGACAATAGGAAAGTAAAAAAAAAAACTGTTCAGAATCAGAACAACTTTCAGATCTGCCAGTCCTTCCTCTGATGTTTAATACAAGTGTTGTGGGCACGTGGAGTTGATCTAGTGTCAAAGACCATTACCTTTGAAAGCCACGGTACTGCTGGGCTTGTATTTTGGGCTGACGAGCGGCTTGGTGCGTAACATATATTCTTACATTCACAGAGATTTATGTGGACAAAATGTACAAAATAAGATAAACCTTTATTAATCTCACAGTTGAGAAATGTACAGTCTATATACAGGTGTGGTTAAGAGTCCAGTCCATTTGTAGTGGATTACGTTTTAACTTTAGCCTATTTAAATTATGATTGTGTTGTAAATTATAGAGAAGACTCCTAAAATGGTGATTTTATGAAACCTTAAATCAAAATGGGTCCACACCAATTTCACTGTTTGTGTTTGTGTTTCTTTACACCAGTAGATTTGACTGGTTTTAGGATCCAATAGCAAGCTTTGACCTCAATACATTGGCATTTGACACGGCTTGAGGCAGCTGCTGCAATCCTACTGTCAGGGTTGTTTTGAAAAAATGTGAGAATAAGTGGAAAAAACCTGGCAACGCTTCACACAAATGAGTATAGCACATGTAGTATTTTATTTACGGGCGCTTCGTTTCAGAAAGCCACCTGTGTGCACTTGAGGAGGCCCAAATGAGAATGATGTCACCTCAGTGTGAGAGGTCAGGAATCCAGATTTTTCAAAAAGACTGGGTCAATTACATTTGTCAAGCAAGACCGCGGATCACAGCCATTTGCAATTTGAGCCGCTCCCATCACAGCAAGGCAATAATCTATGCCCAATTTCCACATTTCCCTTTCCTTATGCTAGCATGGAAATTACATTTGTTAAATAGGTCACAGAGGAATCAAAACCATTTAGGACGATGCGTTTGATGATGTGAGATTTGTTGGGCGAAGAAAATGAATTAACCTTTCATTGTGTCAGCAAATGTTCTGCTGATAATGCAGGTGAGGGCTCCGAGTGGCTGATTTCATAACACATGATTCATCGCTGATTTTGCATGATAATTATATTGTTTTTATTCAATATAAAAGTGTATACGTGGCTGTATGGTGGGGTCTTTCAAATGCAGCTCTGGTTTAGTCTGATACAGTACATTGATTTTATCCCAATTAAGTTAGACCAAGTGCGAGTGGTTGGCTGCCCAATCGTAGCTATAAGAAACAAGTTGTCATCTATAAGGCTTAGAAAAGGTTCTAATAAGACAAAAGTGTAAAGAAGCTAGTACGGCTTAATGGCCTGACTTTGGGCGGTAGACGTTCTCCTTTGTCAGAGGTCAGAAGTAGCCTCCTTTACACTTTTGTCTTATTGAAGAACCTTCTAAGCCTTAGAAAAATTATGAACGATTTACAATTAGGTTGTCATCTTTGTAATTTGCCTCCACGGCTGTAGTTCTGGCTGCGGAAACGGAAATACACAGTGGAACCCATTACGATATTTCCATGACGGTTTCAGAGCCTAAAGGTCAAAACACAATATTGCTGTGAGGATGGAGGAGAGGGGGAGGGGATGAATTTTTACAAACCAGGTCCATGGAGCTTCTGTGGGAAATACATGCAGCAGCAGCTCATAGGATCTGCATAGAGGTCTGCTATCCATGTATGTCTCTGGTTACATAGATAGATAGATAGATAGATACTTTATTGATCCATCGTACGAGAAATTCAAGGGTCCAGTAGCAGCAAAATAAATACCAAAATTGATCATTCTAAAAAGCTAGCAATAGTAATAATCAGCAACAGCCCATCAGGTCACAGCAGCAGCGGTGATGAAGCCGCTTGGTTTGGACCATTTTCTCTGCTCTGGTCCAAAGTAAAATGCGAAATGCTTCATTAGCATTTTCCAAAAGCTGCCGTTTCCAGCGCATTCAAAAGTACTCATCAAGGCTTCATCTATTGAACATAATATATCCTGCGCAGACTATATATCTGAGTGATTCTATCTATGCCAAATGTTATGTGTACATTTCACTGTTAAAGACACTATTAAATACTTTTAGTTTGAAACATCTTTTATCACCAAATTACATTACACTCACTGCTCACTTGTTGCCATGGAGATGATTATTCTTTGCTTAGAATGTATCACAGTATTAAACTAAATCAGAAGTTTTCAAAGCTCAAAAGCCAAATATAAAGCAGAAGCATTGCACAAGCCTTCTCCTGTGCACCAGTTGGCTCTCCACTCCACAGCTTCGTCACTTGCTGCTCTTCCATGATGGAAAATGTCGTCGCCGTGGAACATTCCCGACAAATTTTGTTTTGGAAAAGGCCGGGCTGTCTTTCACCAAACAAAATGTGTCTGGAATCCATCGGGAAAGTTGGATAATCCACCATAATCGATCCGTCTGTCTGTCTGTCTAGTAGAAATCTATCCATCTATCTCATCTATCCTGTTCAAATACAGACGCCACACACAAACCAGGGACACACTATTTGCATTTCATTTCAGATCCCAGTATGTCCCGCTTTCACATCACTACCACAAACACTCCCGACACCTTTTGATTGAGCGTGTGTTGTCGCTTTTAACGTCAACCCCTTTAGACTGGTAACTGCAGTCGTTTGGTAATCCTCAAAGAGAAACACATCATTTCAGAGGTGCCCGTGCAGTTATAGGCTTGTCAGATGCAACCATCAGCATAATTTACACGTTGATAGTACAAAACATTCTAATGGCGGAGGAGGCGAACGGAGCAGAAGCGATTATTTTGTCTTGCGTCGACCTTTACGACACCGTTGGGGGGGGGGGGGGGGGACGTATTTGGCCGGTGCGCAGATGGAAACGCAGCAGTTAATCATGAGCGCCGTACATTTTTTCTGCGGGCGATATGGACAGCTCTGACCCCCAGCGCGGGCGAGGGTCAGCTCTGTGGGCCGTTAAACATCTCTCCCCTGTCACTCGTGGAGGGGCTCAGTGCAAATAGTGGGACAGCGGATATAGATAAAGCAGAGTGGAGCGTTCTCTAAGTGACGCCGTGAAGGGACTTTCAAATCCAATCGCGCTGTCATCTTATCTGCATTAAGCTCAACTAAAGGAG